GTAGTGGTAGTAGTAGTAGTAGTATGGTAGTGAAAAAAATATTACAATATGGTAGAGCAATTAATTCGTACATGAGTAAAAGCTATTACTTGGGTAACATAAAAATAGGTTGGACAAATATAGACTGGAAAGAGGCAGGTAGTTTCAGTGTTCACTCTCTGTGCTTTGTGTAGTATAACAGGAGAGACTATGTGATGGCAGGGTTTACTGTTTTCAGGAGGATTCTTGCTAAGACTTCGGAGATGGTGAAGCTGCCGTTTTTTGTTTAATTGTATTCAAAACAGCGATCAGTGCTGATTCGAGGCACTTGCGTCTGCGGAAATTAGTTTCTTTAATCACTAATTGGGCGTCTCTAAATTTCATGAGATGAAACAGCAAGAACCCTCGACACCCGCCTCAATGAACACATTTACGCATGTAGGAACAATAACTTGAACAACGCCTGTGTACAACACCGAAATTCCACCAATCATCTCATGAAATTTAGAGACACCCAATTAGTGATTAAAGAAACTAATTTCCGCAGACGCAAGTGCCTCGAATCAGCACTGATCGCTGTTTCGAATACAATTAAACAAAACAACGGCAGCTTCACCATCTCCGAAGTCTTAGCAAGAATCCTCCTGAAAACAGTAAACCCTGCCATCACATAGTCTCTCCTGTTATACTACACAAAGCACAGAGAGTGAACACTGAAACAAGCTGCCTCATTCCAGTTTATATTTGTCCAACCTATTTTTATGTTACCCAAGTAATAGCTTTTACTTATGTACGAATTAATTGCTCTACCATATTGTATTATTTTTGTCACTACCACTACTACTACTACTACTACTACTACTACTACCACCACCACTAGTGAACATCGATATGGTACCTCACTAATATTGCACCTCACTCTGAGCCTTTATATACCCTCTGTGTCCATGTATTGTTTGTAATGGCTTGATAAAGCTCCTGGAGAGCGAAACGTTGCCACAATAAAATGTCACATTAGTTGCACTTGTGTTCTTTTACTTTTCATATTGTCGGTAATTCTACCAACTTTATTACATAATGGAAGAAAAACATTTAAATTTGTATTAAATATCTTCATAATTGCTGCAACATTACTGATAATTGTTGATATGAAATAAGTAATTCATTATTTGTAACTATAGTAGTATGAACAAAGCTTATGGTGCCCTGTCTTCAGTTTTTAGTCTGTCATGAATTTTTTAAAGCTTTTGGTGATTTTTTATAAATTATTACACAACAGTGTTGTATGAACCACATGCTTGGAACTTTGTTTTAAATATAAGAATAATAACAATGAAAAAAGAAGATAAAATTAATAGTTTTCTTCTTTTTCGGGTCACCATGCCTCAGTGGGAGCTGGCTGGTGTGCTAAAAAATAATTAATAACCTACTACCTCATCCTGTAAGCCATTTCATTGATGAATTGTTTGTGATGCAGACGAGTGGACTGGTCATCGGCCGAGGACTCCTTCCTGTTGCTGTGCAAAGTTGCATCTTGCTTCCTCTTCCCCAACATTCGTAGTCAGATGATCACCTTCAGTCTAGTAAGGGACTTGTTGCATGAGAGATTTCCTGAGGCACGCAACAAGACCTCCCGGGCCTGCCAGAGGCGAATCAACTACATCATGAAAAACCCGACTACAGAGGATAATGTTGCCATCTTCCTGGAGGAGGTCAGGCAGGATGCTAACATTGTGGCAGAATTTAAGGTTAGTAGTTATTGTTAGACATCCTTTCTATGATCACTCTCCAAGTTTTCAGTACAGGAGGGCCTCACATATACAGCACCTGTTTTGGGTGTTCCACGTTTTCGTTGGCTTTCATTTGAGCCGTTGTTTCACCTGCCAGCAGATGAAAGATAATGAACAGTGGCTCAGTTTTAAGCCAACCAAAGCATGAAGCACCAAAAAGGTGCTATATATGCCTGGCCCTACTGTATACCCTTCCATTCTAAGCATCTACCATTGTTCAAATTCTGTCATTCAAGGATGAAGGCTCAAGCCTCTACCACTCCTAACAGTGAATGACCTACATGAGCTTAGCCCAATGTGAAATACAATTTAGCTTTCCCTTGTTCATAGATTAGTGTTATCCCTTCCACTAATCACTGAGTATTATACATTATCTCACAGTCTAGTGCTGAATATGTAATGATGGAGGGAGAGCATGCCGTAATTAACAATAGGCTCAATCCTCTACTATTATTTGCTCTGAATGATCCACATGAGTTTAGTGCTTTATGAAATATGACAATACATTTATAGCATTGAAAACTCAGTAACAGTGCTTGAAATTGTAGCACTTTTTTCTTTAACCCCGGCTGTCTTCCACCATGGTAGGGTGAGCCACAAAGGATGAAGCACTTTTATCATCATTCATTTTATCGATGTCTTACAGGAGGCACACCAATGCCCCTACAGACTGCAAATATCCCCATCCCTCCTTCAGAGTTCAGCCATTGTATTTTCTACCTCCAGAATTCAAGTCCAGCTAGCTGGTTTCCTTCAGTTCCTTCATAAATGTTACCTTGCTCATACTCCAGTGGCTCATCAAGTCCCAAAAACCATTTGCCTCCACTCCTTCCTAACATGCTCACACATGCCTGGTGGATGTCCAAGCACCTTGGACATGTAACCTCCTTTACCCCCTCCCTCCAACCTTTCCTAGGGTGATTCCTACCCAGCCTTCCCTCCACCACAGATATGTGTGCAACACTTGGTATCTTTATTGTGGAAATGTTTTGCCAACTAGTGGCTTCCTCAGTTTAATGCAGAGAAGAATGGTTGAATATCAGGAGTTTGAAGTAATCAGTCCCTCAGCCTGGAGTTTGTGATCAGTCCATCAATCTTGATAAGATTGATGGACTGATCAATAAAGATACCCAGGTGTTGTGCAGGTGTCTAATTCATCATCCTGTTAGTTCTCTGAACCATTTACCTACATACAGGTCAGCCATCACTAATCCGGCAATCGGTTATTCGGTTCCATCAGTAATCCGGTACTAGTTTTGGCTATCATAATTTCTAATTTCATAATTATACTGACTCAGATTTCATCATTATACTTAGAAACTGTTGTAAATGGTTGTAAATTCACAGCAGCAAGCCGGTGGAGGAGAAAGCATTTATGAAAATGCGGAAGATGTAGCAGAGTCTCTATTGATAGGCTAATTAAGTGTATTCTAAATAACAAAAAAGGCACAATACCGTGACTGGAATGATACACAGATAACCCGCACATAAAAGAAGCTTACGACAAAGTCACTTTGTAAATGGTCCAAGTCGGACCGAAACGTCGTCGTAAGCTTCTCTCTTTTATGTGCGGGTTATTTGTGTAAGTATTCTAACCTAACCATTCTGCAATCCAGCAAGCTCACTAATCTGGCACACTACAGGTCCCAATAGTGATGGCCAACCTGTACTAATTTTTGTTTCCACACCTGAAATTCTAATTTCATGATTAACGGATCATAATTATTTTTACATTAAAGGGCCCAAAACTTCCGCGCAACAAGAAGAACATCGAGGACGTCTATGCCAAGCTATTCCGTCGACTAATGAGTAGACTTGTAATCAAGTTTGCCTCTAGTGAGTCCCGGCAGTGTCCCGATCTCCCAGACACTGCTGAGGAGTTCAAAGAGAAATTCTGCATCATCAGAGCTGCATCGTCTCTGCGCAGCAAACTCAAGGTAGGAGGTTTAAGTCCATCTCTGATATAGCATCCTCTATGTGCGTCAACGCTCTATTTTGTAAGTGGGGAAATAGAGTACACCCTCCCTATAATGCACTTTTAAAATACGTACAGGTAGACCCTGCTTTTCAGTGCTTCACTTTACAGCATTTTGCTAATACAACAGTTTTCAATCATAACCCATTCTTCTTCTATTCAGACTTCCTTCAATAAATATACTCACCATTTGCTATAAGCTAAGGATAAAAAGTATTTTAAGGTAAATAATGTATGTAGTACTGTACATGCATATTTTAGACCTAGTTCTATTGCCTTCACTTAATATATGATCAATGTAAATCCGTGTTTATTTAGCCTTTTACATGCATTTGAAAGTAAAAAAGGGCTGTGTTTTACTTTGCACTGAGTCTCACATTACAACAGCAGCCCAGAACCTAACCTGCTGTATAAGCAGGACCCTCTTGTAGTGGACTAAAAATATTTCTGGACAAAGTATACTTTAACGTCGTTATTTTTTACCAGTCTTTGTAGCTATATTACTGTAAATTGCATGTTTAGTACTATATTAAGCATAAAGTACTTAAATGCCTTCTCTATTATTTTTAACATTGATATATATCTTGGTAATCGACGTTGTTTTTAACTTTATTCTGATTTAAAGGAGACACTGACAGTGCCTCTTATTAACGTGTGAGTGAGCTGAAGGACCCATGTGGGTTTAGCATTTTTTTTATTAATCTTGTAGGTTAGGTTAGGTAAGGTTCGTCAGGAAACAGGACAAATGTTTCCTGACGCGGGTCTTAGTCAGATGATGACCCGCCTTTGGAGCTTTTGGTCATCTGACCGAGGCCTTCCGCTGGCTTACCGGTCCACCCCTTTAAAAATTATGGTCATTTATAACCAGTCTGTCTATATACATTAATCTTGTATTAATTACAATACTTGCCTGTCTTATTATAATGACAATAATGCCCATCAATATCATCATGATTATTTTATGTTAGGGAGTTTAACTTTGAGGTGCATTTTTTTGACATGTTGGTGACTGCTGCCTTCAGCAGACCTACTGTGAAGGGATCTTACAATGCTGGTAAAGGGCTCTTGATTTGAGAAATTGGAACTACCCTCCATTCTCTTTCCTTGAACCAAACCTGATTGTCTCCTGTTCCCCAGCTGCTCTGTTACTACACATATTTTGCACTTATTCTTTAATCTTGAATATAATAATAATAATAATAATCTTTATTGTCTTCAGTTAGTGATATTAAACTCTCTAATAATGGTTGGAATATAGAAATTGTGAAGGGTTTCGGGAAACCAGTAGCTAATGTATGCATTGTATTTCTCACCTCCATGACTGTAGCATCTCCACCCCTCCTTCAGAGTGCAGTCACTGCACTTCCCACCTCCATGACTCACGATCATTCTGTTCTGTTTTCAGAGTTCACTCTGCTCCAAGTATGACAGAGATTCTTATGCCTACCAGTTGTACCTAGCATACCAGCAGTACCCTCAAGTCCTCCTTAACTCTGTGTTGACTCGCATGCGACAAGACCAGATGATCAGCTACAAGAAATGCTACAACCGCTCTCTCTTCGCCCAGACGTGTCTTCCACTCTCTACCTCTCCATTTCAACTTTCAGTCACCTACCTGCATGTCTTCAACCTCAAAGTAAGTGACCATCGTAACTTAATTTTGATGCCAAATTAGAAATGTGTATGCCTTGTTAATTCACAAAAATACGTCAACATTTTGGAGAGAATTACAAATTGTACAAGAAGTAAAGATAAGTGTGTAATAAATGTAAGGAGAAGTTTGCAATAATTGCCCGTGTTTTTAAGTGTCCATGACACTGAAAGAAAAAAATCATCAATTCGCTCAGAGTGCAAAATATTTAATAAAGAAGATTCTGCTGTGCCCTCTTACTTGTGTTGAAGCACTTTTGATCAATGGAATTGTAACTATCCTTCCCTTGGTTCAAATCTGGCTACCTCCTACTCCATATGGCCTGCATATCCCCTATGATCTTAATACTTCCCCATGAGTACACACTTCACACCTCTAAAGGTGGGGTGGGATGCTGTAGTTCAGAGGGTCATCTGAGTTATGTCAACATGCCTCTGGCAGGACAGCAATTGAGTGAATGATGGTGAATGTCTTTCCCCCTTTTTCTTATTAGAGGGGGTTCTCAACTGTACCTCAGTGGGATATAGCCAGTGTGTTTTAAAATGACATTTTTCCAATAATTTTTTTTTTTAAATAAAGCATTGAATATAGGCTGAGAGCATTGTGTTGTGTCCAGGTGTTTTTGCCTTTTGCCAGTCTCTAGAGTTTTCAGAGAATGGTGTGTGAAAATTCCAGCTCAGCAATTTTGAAATACTCAAACCATCCCATCTGACTCCAGGATCATTCCATAGTCAGAATCACTTAATCACATTTCTTCCTCATTCTGATGTTTGGTCTGAACAACAACTGTGAATATACACAACTGTGAATCTCTTGACCATGTTTAGGCTTTGCATTTGAGAAGGACTGCCTAGTTTGGGCCAGTAGGCCTACTGCAGTGTCCCTCTTTATGTCTGCATGCTTTTAGGTACTGAGGCACACACACAAGATTGGCTGATTAACTATTTGCATTCAAGAGCAGGTGTATAGGTGTACCTAATAAAGTGGCCCCCCTAATGTCACTTTATTAGGTACACAGCTCCCTGCATACAACCTTCTCCCTGCATACAACCTTCATTGTAGCAGTAAGCCATCATTCTCCAGGGAATTTGTGATTATAAATGATTGTATATATATATTGTATGCTTTTTTTTTTGGTTTCATGTTTATTAAAAATTCAAAATTATTTGTGTATGTAATTATTTTAATTCTTTGCTCTACATTTCAGTATCAATATGAAATATTTAGTCAGTCGTGGCAGATGTTGAAACGATTGCTGGAGAAGAAGCGGGAGGTTATTCTCAGAGCAAAGACTTCTGCGACTGCTGATAATCTGGGTGTTTCTGAGCCTTCCAGTGGTGTGTCAGAGCAGACCAACAATGGCAATGAGACCAGTGGAGAGGATGGAGTGCCGGTGGTGATCCTTCATGAAGGAGGTTACTGTGCTACTGTTGTGGCTCTGATGGCCACAAAGAGACTTTTCTTTGACATAGTTATCCCTGAGCAGATCATCATGATGGACCAACAGCAGCCCATAGTGGAGGACCACCACCATAGCTTACTGCGAAGGTTTTCTTCTCACACACAGATGTCTGGCAGGGATATTAAAGATTTAGATGGGTCTTTCCTAGAGTACATCAACATTCCATCTCCACCATCACCAAACACAATAACTGGGGGTGATGTCACAGCTAAGACAAAAGGAACACGCTTAATCCAGCAAAAGCTGAAAGATCTGAAGAATTCTCAGTTTCCAGAAGAAGAAAACATCAGACTAAGTGAGCCAGTAAAGAGGAAAGCAATTGGAAAAGACAAAGATAAAGTGAAGAAATCTAAACTTAGTCAAGACAGTCCAGAAAAATTGGCAGTAGCCAAACGCACCACCAGATCTTCCAGTAAATCCACAAATGAAGACCAAATGCTAGAGAAAGCAGATTCTGCAAACATAGGTACACCTAAGAAAAAATGTAGCCAAGGATTGGCAGAGAGAACAGGGTCATTAATGAGAGTAAAAAGGGAAGCAGTGGAAGGAGGACCACCAGAAGATGACATCGAAGATATGCAAGACACTGAGGATAGTTATCCCCCAGGTGACGTCTCCTCTACAGAAGAAGACTTGGATACCACTAGTCCTCCGGTAAGAAAAGGCTCTGTCGTCTAATATTTTTGCCATTTCATTTAAATTGTGATTCTTTTTTGGGTCACCCTGCCTTGGTGGTAGACGGCCAGCATGTTAAAAAAGAAAATCTGCATTTTTGTAAAGACAGCTAGAAAGAATGACGACTGTTTTTCCTTGGGTCACCTTGTTTTGTTGGGAAACAGCCTGTGCGTTTAAAGAAAATCCCCTCGTTTCATATCTCATATAATTTTCAGGGCCGATGCAGTCAGTCATCAGCCTCCCGCCTCGGACTGTACATGATGAGAGATCAGCTTAGTCTAGCTGAGGTGAACCAGATCAACATCCAGCATGCTCAAGAACACTTGGTAGTCAATGCCTGCGAAATAACCTGTCGCCTAAGACCACCTCCTGAATACCAAGACAAATTTGAAGAAATAGCAGCAGCAAGTGACTTGGACACTATTGATGACATCTTGCTTCCATTAACAAAGACCACCATTTCCGAGGCTCTAGAGCAAAGAAAAAAGTAAGTTTTTATTATAGGAAATCAAAAAGACTAAGAAACTAAATTTATCATTTACTGGTGTGGTGTTGCTATAAATAAGATGGATGAATTCGAACTTGGTCGTGAAGTTTAATAGGTTGTAAAGTGCGTCAATCATACGTATAATGTGACTTGAATACATGAGGATTTTTCTTTCATTTTTATCTGAAAAGGATTAAAAGTAATGCGAGTGGAATCACTAAATCATACCAATGCATTCTTAATGTTCAGTAATCAAGAACAAGTAATACAAGATGCAAAACAACCACAGGGCAGAGTTGAGTGATAGCTCTAGGTCTTTTGAGGAACAATTAATACATCTTTGGGAACTTGCAATGTTGCAGAAATGAGTAGTTAGTTCAGGTAGATCCATTAAAGGGAACTTCCCCTGTGGTTGTTTTGCACATTCTTAATGTATTACCGAGTATAATGTATAATGAGTATAAAGTATTTATAACTAATCCACAAATTATGGATAAAACTCAACAACATTATGGTCCATCTTGGATCATTATCAAGTCCAGAATGAAGCAAAATCTCATTTAGTGTTCTCTAATATGTGAGCTAGTTCTTCATGGGAAAGTGGAGAAGAATCCTTCCTCCATAAGCCATGCATGTCGTAAGAGTTGACTAAAATGCCAAGAGCAAGGGGCTAACAAACCATACCACGGACGGGGATAGAACCCGCGATCAGAGAGTCTCATTACGATTTCGTGAGTCATATTGTTGAGCAAGGGGCTAGTAACCCCTTCTGTACAAATATTTTTCGGGTCACCCTTCCTCGGTGGGGGACGTCCGGCATGTTAAAACAAATGTGAACTGGCTGTCTTCACTGAGGCAGGGTGATTCCGAGAAAGAAACACTTTCACCGTCATTCACACTTATTACTGTCTCATCAGAGCCATACAGCTATGACAGTTTAGATGTCCCTCTGAACAGCAGATACACCAAACCTTTAAGAGTGCAGGCATTATACTTATCACCTCCAGGGTGACTTATTCACCTCACACTCGTGTCATACGTGATAAACTTTTAACCCAAAATAGCAATGTGTATATACTCACATGTTCACACAGTAAAGTTATTACATACGTTCAACAGAGTAACATTAGAGGACTGGTGCCAGTTAGATGATGTTTTGGATAGATGGAAAGAGGATGGCCAAAGCCCGGAAATGCTGGAGTTCGTGAGGGCGATCTACATGTACATTGACTCTTGCAAGGATATTGGAGCTTCGGTCAAGGATCTCAAGGTACCAGAGCTGTACTGTGTCTCATGGCCTTTTCTCTCCTCAGTTTGTTTTTATTCATTTCATATTGACAATTACATTTCATAAACAGGATTTTTTTTTTCTTTTAAGTGTTCTCACCCACACTTAAGTGTTTAGGAGGGCCCTGCTTATATAGCAGGTTAAGTTCTGGGCTACTGCTGTAAAGTGAAAATCTCTGTAGCGAGAAGTATAGCATTTTTTCACTTTCAAATGTATATAAAAGCTTAATAACATATTTACATTATCATATATTAAGTAGAGTGTAAAGCTAAGCTTAAAAATACATATACAGTACACACCTTACCTTAAAATGTTTTTGTCCTTACCTTATAGTAAGTGGTGAATGTACAGTGGATCCCCGGTTAACGATATTTTTTCATTCCAGAAGTATGTTCAGGTGTCAGTACTGACCGAATTTGTTCCCATAAGGAATATTGTGAAGTAGATTAGTCCATTTCAGACCCTCAAACATACACGTACAAATGCACTTACATAAATACACTTACATAATTGGCCGCATTGGGAGGTGATCGTTATGCGGGGGTCCACTGTACTTATTTGTAGAAAATCTGTATAAATGAAGGATGGGTGCACTTGAAAACCACTGCATTAGTGAAAAGCCGTAAAGCGGGGCTTGCCTGTATGCCAGGAACATGAAAAGAAGGGATACAATAAATTTAGGGCTCTTTATAACTCTCTTGTGTGTTTTTTGTGAATATACAGTTGTATTAATCATTTTTTAATATTTTAAGTAATCATCATTATCATTATAAAGTGCTAATAGACTCTGTTTTATGTGGTATAATGTTTTTTTTTGATGGTGAAAGTTTTTCTTTTTCGGGCCACCCTGCCTTGGTGGGAGTCGGCCAGTGTGATAATAAAAAAAAATAATGTTTTTTTGGACCCTTTTCACTTTCAGTGATTGTCGTTTTTGTCTTGCGTAGTAACCCATCTCTGGTCTCCCATCTCCTCCCAAACTAGTAATCCATCTCTGGTCTCCCATCTCCTCCCAAACTAGTAATCCATCTCTGGTCTCCCATCTCCTCCCAAACTAGTAATCCATCTCTGGCTCCCATCTCCTCCCAAACTAGTAATCCATCTCTGGTCTCCATCTCTCCCAAATAGTAACCATCTCTGGTCTCCCATCTCCTCCCAAACTAGTAATCCATCTCTGGTCTCCCATCTCCTCCCAAACTAGTAATCCATCTCTGGTCTCCCATCTCCTCCCAAACTAGTAATCCATCTCTGGTCTCCCATCTCCTCCCAAACTAGTAATCCGTCTCTGATCTCCCATCTCCTCCCAAACTAGTAATCCATCTCTGGACTCCCATCTCCTCCCAAACCAGTAATCCATCTCTGGTCTCCCATTTCCTCCCATGCATGACCTGGCATTTCTTTATGTTGAACTCCAACAGCCATTTGTATGACCACCAATACATGCTGTCTCTGTATTTCTGGAAGTCCTTTGTATCTTCTTACATATTCTTCTCAATACTTTTGCATTGTCCATGGAGGCACAGCTCTCCAACTTAAAAATGGGTTGCAGTCTTTTTCAACTTGCAAATAATTTTAGAGGGACATAGTTGGCAGTTGGGAAATGTTTGGTGGACAGAGTGTAGGGGTTGGTGTAGTGTTGGGAAAGGTTGGGGAAAATATGGGTTAGGTGGGGGAGGGGGGAACGTGTGGGTTAGGTTGAGATTAGTGTGGATAAAGGGTTTATGTTGCTTCATCAATAGAACAAATGAACCAGCATGCACAAGTAACTCGCACTTAGAAGAGGAAACTTATGTTGACGTTTCAGTCTGTTCTGGACCACTGTCAAGTGACGTCTTGACAGTGGTCCAGTTTAGACTGAAGCGTCGTCACAAGTTTTCTCTCCTATGTGTAGGTTATTTGCAAATTGTTCCATCCATGATATTGTGACTGTTTCTCTCTTTATGACCCAGTATATTTTGGAGATAAAATCAATTTCTTCCACTACAGGAAAGGTTTGGAGGTGGAGAGTTGAATGTGACCAGTGTGGTAGCCCAGATGGAGGACGCCCTGCTGGTGCTGCGTGTGGGTGTGGCTGTGGTGCGCTGGGTCACCATGCCTTACACAAAATCCTGGCTTATTCATACAAATAAAATAACAAGGTTAGCATGCCTTTCTGTTTTCCAAATCCTAGAAATGGCTTATTTTCCAATGCCCACAATTACTATTACAAAAATTCTCCCTGCCATTTGTTTATGTCCCCTCTCTTAGGGCATGTTTTGTTCAAGAACATTTATGCTGACAGTGACTGCAGTAGAGATACATATTTAGTGATACAGGGCAATAGAAAGTGGTATTGTCTCCTAATGTAGGTCATAGTCATATGATGACCTGCTCTATGGAGTCTTGAGCCAATTGACAGAGGCCTACTGGCTGTAGGGTTCACCCCATCAAAAATTAAAAATTACAACATAAGATTTGATATTTAAGCTTCTACACACCACTTAAAAAATGAAGGTTTCTCCACCATTAAAAGAAAAAAAAGTTTCTCCTTACAACTTAAAAATAATTCACCACTCCACTTTTATTTAAACACGAGTTTCTCCACTACTTAAAAAATCAAAGTTTATCCACACTAAACTCATTCTCATATGAGACAAATTCAGTTTGAAGAGCGAGTTGACAGAAATAGAACTATGGTCAAGCACGTGTCACTGCTCTACAAAAGTTGAGTGTATATTGAAGAACTAGAGTTAGAGCAGTGTATAGGGAGGAGCCAGAGTGGAAGAGCAGTGTACACGAGAGAATCAAGGGACAGTGTACACGAGAGAATCAAGGGACAGTGTTGTGTAGCAACAAGAGTGGATGGATAATTTTTTAGACTGTTGTTGTTTACCTTGTTTATGTTTGTTAGTACAGCCTCTCCTCACTTAGCAACGTTATTTACCAACAACTTGGACTTACGACAGGCTCTCTGACCAGTATGCATATCTAATTAATGTATATTAGAGCTGATTTCTTCTATTCTGTTTATTTCAATATATGTACAGTACACTACTGTATAAACATTTAAAAATATACCAGAAATGTTATAACTGGTACAGAGGTGACATTAAAACAATATTAAAAATGGTTGACACAAACTCCCTACCATTATAGCATGCTCCTCCTCACTTAGCAAAATATTCGTTTACCATAGTCTTAGGAATGGAAATCCATCGTTAAGTGAGGAGAGGCTGTATTTTATAAGCAGTGACTCCATCAGGTAAAGATGGAGAAGATCTAGCTAAAAGTTTTGCCATTAGAGATGGAGTAATAACTGTGTATACCCTCTCCCAGTCAAGCCAAGTTACCACCCACCAAAATCACTTTCATTACTCATCTAACCTTGATTGATTTTTCTTTTTAAGCAAACTGGCCATATCCCACTGAGGCAGGGTGACCCAAAAAAGAAAAAACAAAAGTTTTTCTTTTTAAATTTGTAATTTATACAGGAGAAAGGGTTATTGGCCCCCTTGCTCCCAGCATTTTAGTTGCCTCTTTTGACACACATGGCTTATGAAGGAAGGATTCTTTTTCCCACTTCCCCATGGATAATTATTGAATTCTAATATTAAAACAAGATGAAAAAATATCCCACCATATCTTGAATTAAATATCTTTGGGTAAGGGTTTCTTTTAACATAAATAATTTAAGAAGTCTACACTCTCCCTTCCCCTCAAGGAAGGCTCCTTGATGTTGGTGAGGGGCTCTTGATTTAGGGAATTGGATCTGTGCTCCAGTTCCCCGAATTAAGCCTGAATGCCTTCCACATCCCCCCCCCCCCCAGGCGCTGTATAATCTTCCGGGTTTAGCGCTTCCCCCTTGATTATAATAATAATAATACACTCTCCCTTTATCAATTTCATTTCTTGAGATTTCCTTCAAAGATTTTGGGCTGATGTGTTTTCCTTAATGGATGATTCTAGTTATTGACCTCCATAACTCCCAGTCTAACAACATTATTAAAAACACTGATACCGATTTTCTTTCAATAACTAAAAAATACCTCTTCTGATTGACTATAAGCAATAAATGGTAATGCATTTGACTGAACAAATGATACCCAATATGTTTAGGCTATCTGCATACCTCTGGCAAGACAGTGATAGTATGAATGATGGTGAAAGTGTTCTTTTTTTGGGTCACTCTACCTCTATTGGGAATGGCCAGTGTGTTAAAAAAAATTTAAATTGTTGGATTCCCTGTGGAGATGCTTCTTCTGGTCAGCTTCAAACTTTTAACATTAATGTAGCATGGTTATTTAAGAGGGAGATACGTTAATGGGCGTGTACCCTCTAATGTCATAATTTTATGAATATCATATTTACTCTTCTAGACCACTAAGAATTTGAAGTATTAACCCGTAAACAGTCCAAACATATATACACGTTTTTTCAACATTTGAAAGTACGTAAAAAAAGTAGATCTTCTTTTTGTTTTTCTACATTTGAAAATGTGTGAAAAAAACTTGATCTACTTTTTTTTTTGTTATATTTGAAAATATGTAAAAAAAAATTAGATCTACTTTTGTAGCGCTACACATGTGAACGTAGATCTGCTTGGACCGTTTACGGGTTAAGCTGCTGAAGAACTAAACAGACTTCAAAAACTTTGTAAAAATACACTGTCAATTTGCATTTAGTACCCTCTAACTTTTCAGGAAATATTACATTATCTAAAATAAATGTTTGGCTTCCTCTGTGGTATTGATTTCTGTTCGTGAATATAACAAGATCATTTTTTTCCTCAGAGTCATACGGCAGAGTGTACGACTGCAGGGAGTTTATCGTATGAACTTGAAAAACACTGACAAAGCATCAAAATCTAGCAATAATCAAGCCATAGAGGATGTAGCAGAGGTTACTGCAGATGATGACAGTAATTTGAAGGTAGGCAGTGTAAGGAAAGGTTCTTTGAAACAAATTTGAAGATAGGTTGTGTAAAGGAAGGTTTCAGTTGGAAGAAATTTAAGGTAGGATGTGTGCCTGTCAGTTTCCCTTAATTCTCTTCATAAATGTTACTGATTTACACTCCATCAGCAGGTCATATCCTATATCCACTGTTTTTTTTCAATTATCACATCAACCATTTCCCACCAGGGTAGGGTGGTCCCCTGGAAAAGAAACACTTTTCATTGATAAAGTAATGAGCAGAACCACCACTGTGAAAAATAGTGAAATTCAAAGTGCTTTCATGACTTCTCACATTATCAAGGAACTGTAGTTCCTTGATAATTCCTTGGAATTTCACTATTTTTTCACAGTGGTTGTTCTACATATTGTGATATCATCTGTTTACTGTGATCTTATTGCATAAAGTAATGAATTTGGAGAAATACTGAATAGTTCCTCATCCTGGAAGTTTTGCTATAATATGTACATTTTGTATGCTGACTAGATACAGTTCAGTACTTGGAGAAGTTCAGTTATTTCTACCATTTTTAGGTAAGCAAAATATCTTAATATCTGAATTGGAAACTTCAAAATTAGAGATGAGAAATAGTGCAGTAGGCCCCCCCGTATTTGCGGGGAATATGTTACAAGGACCTGCCGTGGATACTGAAACCGTGGATAGTAGTAAAGCTTATACAGGTCAGCCATCACTAATCCGGCAGTCAGTTATCCGGTTCCATCAGCAATCCAGCACTAATTTCAGCTAGCATAATTTCAAATTTCATCATTATACTGACTCAGAAATTGTGCAGATGGTTGTAAAACTGCAGCAGCAAGCCAGTGGAGGAGAAAGCAGTGATGAAAATGAGGAAGATGTAGGAGAAAGAGTCTCTATTGATAGGTTAATTAAGTGTATTCTAACCTAACCACTCTGTAATCTGGCAAACTCACTAATCCGGCACACTATAGGTCCCAACGTTGCCAGATTAGTGATGGCTGACCTGTATACACATATATAAGTCCTATACATACCTATTATGAAGTTTAATAGATGAATTATCACTTTTTTTCACTGATGGGAAGCACTTCCTGGCTTCTCTAAGACTTTGAGCAACTGCCAGCTTCACTTTTTGTGCTTTGGGGCCATTATTATGCAAAATTAACAGGTATTTTTGGGCCACGTAAACTGTAGATACTGAATCATTGCATACGGGGGTTCTACTGTACATAAAAGTGTTATTGATGACCTGGCGCTACTCTCTCTATGTATTTCCTTCCCATTTACAGCAGCAAATTACCATGACCAAGGAGGAGAGTTGCATCCTTAATGAATCTCCTCGACAGCCATCTCCTGAGGTGGTTTCCATCCCACCTACCAAAAATGTCGCACCTCAGTCCACACATGAGATAGACAGTATGGAAACCAGTGACTCGCATAAAGAAGGCAAGGCAGTTTTTTATTAATAAGCACAAATAAGCCCACATGGAAAGCTTAAAATAAAGAACAAAAAGGCACAATACACGAATAATCTGCACATGGGAAAACGAAACGTATGTTGAAGTTTCAGTCCAAGTTGGACTGTTAACTAGTTAATATAACTGGTTAATATTAACTAGTTAATCTTCTTTCTTTCAACACACCGGCCGTATCCCACCAAAAGGAAAAACGAAAGTTTCTCCTTTTTTTATTATTATTAACACACTGGCTGATTCCCACCAAGGCAGGGTGGCCCGAAAAAGAAAAACGTTCACCATCATTCACTCCATCACTGTCTTGCCAGAAGGGTGCTTTACACTACAGTTTTTAAACTGCAACACCCCTCCTTCAGAGTGCAAGCACTGTACTTCCCATCTCCAGGACTCAAGTCCGGCCTGCCGGTTTCCCTGAATCCCTGCATAAATGTTACTTTGCTCACACTCCAACAGCACGTCAAGTATTAAAAACCATTCGTCTCCATTCACTCCTATCAAACACGCTCACGCATGCCCGCTGGAAGTCCAAGCCCCTCGCACACAAAACCTCCTTTACCCCCTCCCTCCAACCTTTCCTAGGCCGACCCCTACCCCGCCTTCCTTCCACTACAGACTGATACACTCTTGAAGTCATTCTGTTTCGCTCCATTCTCTCTACATGTCCGAATCACCTCAATAACCCTTCCTCAGCCCTCTGGACAACAGTTTTGGCAATCCTGCACCTCCTCCTGCTTCTAAACTACGAATTCTCTGCATTATATTCACACCACACATTGCCCTCAGACATGACATCTCCACTGCCTCCAGCCTTCTCCTCGCTGCAACATTCATCACCCTTTTACATTTTTACATTTAGTAATATATACAGGAGAAGGGGTTACTAGCCCCCATGCTCCTGGCATTTTAGTCGCCTCTTACAACACACATGGCTTACAGAGGAAGAATTCTGTTCCACTTCCCCATGGAGGTAAGAAGAAATAAACAAGAACAAGAACTAGAAAGAAAATAGAAGAAAACCCAGCGGGGTGTGTATATATATGCTTGTACATGTATGTGTAGTGTGACCTAAGTGTAAGTAGAAGTAGCAAGACGTACCTGAAATCTTGCATGTTCACGAGACAGAAAAAAGGACGCCAGCAATCCAGCTAGTTAATATAACTAGTTAATGGTCGAACTTGGACGAAAACATACATCATAAGTTTCATTCTGCTATATGCGGGTTATTTGTGCAATAAAGTAGGTTAAACATGTACTGTATAGGTGTCCTCTTGTTCTATTTTGTCCATGTAAATTTATTTGTGCTGTTAACTAGTGTTTGTTAAAAAAAATTTGGATTTTGTAATCAACTTTTTTTTGTTGTATTAATCAGCTTTTATTAAACTTTTTTATTTCAATCATTTTGGTGATGACAAAAATCCAGTGAAAATATACCAATTCTTTAGAAAATAAAACCAAAAAACTGTTTTGCTAATGTACTGTATATGAGATCTTTCAAAGTTTTAGAGAAACCACACAAAAAACAAGAGACATCATGCATTTTAAAAAATATATAATGTTTAAGTAACTTAGTTCCCATAGTTGAAAGATGTGTACATCACATGATGCAGTATATACCTAGCTTTCTGAAGCATTGTAATTTATCATTATTGATGTGTAAGAGAACATTTTTGAAGATTGAGAATGGTTGGGTGAGTTGGCCATGTCCAGCATGGACATGTAGGTATATTGTGGATGGGTGAGTTAGCCATGCCCAGCATGGACATGTTGGTATATTGTGGATGGGTGAGTTAGCCATGCCCAGCATGGACATGTTGGTATATTGTGGATGGGTGAGTTAGCCATGCCCAGCATGGACATGTTGGTATATTGTGGATGGGTGAGTTAGCCATGCCCAGCATGGACATGTTGGTATATTGCAGTGCCGCTCTCTCAATATGTTTTTGTGTATTGGAAGGCTCTGGTTTGCCACTGGAGTTACAGATGAGTGGGTGACACTTGGATCTGCCTAGCATGGGCCAGTAAGGCTGCTCTAGTGATTCCTCTAGTGGCTGCTCTAGTGTTTCTCTACTGTTATGTGCTTCACCACAGGGGTCATGCTTTATAGATTTCTACTCTTTAAAAATATTACCCATGAGTAAGTCCACTTTTTCAAAGAGAATTGGGCTTGAAACTTTGTCCTATATTGAAGTATATACTATGAGTGTTACATGGGTGGGTTAATAGCTTGTTTATTATCTGTGTGGAAAAGCAATCAATTAGTCTTAAGATAGGCTTAAGTTTGCCCAAAAACCCTTTCTCCTGTATACTACATTACCAAAGTTAAAAAGAGAAACTTTCAATTTTCTTTTTTGGCCACCCTGCCTCAGTGGAATACGGCCGGTTTGTTGAAAGAAGTACGTAGTAGTAGTTTGCCCGAAATACTCTGTATACTGAGTGGCTTTCTGCATGCACACCTAAATGTCACCCATCTCTACAAACTTTGTATCATGCTGAAATAAATAATCTGTATAATTATGCAGAGCATTTTTGTGGAAACTTAAAATAGGAGTAAAACTAATTAATATATTTGTGCAGTTTAATATATCAGTTTGACATTTAAGATGGTGAGTTATGACAGTAGGTTGTGAGTTATGGTAGTAGGTTGGCAGACAGGAACCACCCAGGGAGGTACTAAGGTCCTGCCAAGTGAGTGTAAAACGAAAGCCTGTAATTGTTTTACTTGTTGGTGGGATTGCTGATGTCTTTTCTCTGTCTCATAAACATGCAAGACTTCAGGTACGTCTTGCTACTTCTACTTACACTTAGGTCACACTACACATGCACGTACAAGCATATATATATACTAGTCCTTGTTCTTGTTTATTTCCTCTTATCTCCATGGGAAGTGGAACAGAATTCTTCCTCCGTAAACCACGTGTGTTGTAAGAGGCAACTAAACTGCTAGGAGCCAGGGGCAGTAGTAGCCATTTCTCCTGTATACTTTACCAAAGTTAATAAGAGAAACTTTTGTTTTTCTTTTTTGGGCCACCCAGCTTCAGTGGGATACTGCCAGTTTGTTGAAAGAAGTTATGACAAGGGTAGAATAAAGTTTGTGTCAACAAGCATAAGAGTGACAAGCTAGCCGGAATAACAAGATAACTATAGAAAGATACACCCTTCAAGGGAAATGGGAGAGTTGATTCAAACTGATTAGAAATAGTTTTGGTTGGTTTGGTTAGTATTGAGAGATGAGATAATTTTTAAGCATAGCCCTAAATTTGTATGTAGTCAGAGGATCCTTAATCAGTTCAGGTAGTGAATTCCAGATCTTCAGGCCCTTTATGTGCATTGCATTTCTGCATAGTGTGAGACTTGACATGAGGGATGTTGAAAAGTGCCTTGTGCCTTGTATTGTGACTGTGCATTCTGTTGCTGCTATCAAGGAGAAGTTTAAGTGGAGGGTTATATTGGAGTTTAATGTTCTGTATATATAGTAGGCACAATAATATGTGTGTCTCGTACATTTAGTAGGTTCAGGCTCTTGAAAAGTGGTGGGGTGTGCTGTCTGGCACAGGAGTTGGTAATCATCCGCACAGCAGCTTTTTAAATAACAAAAAGGCACAATACCGTGACTGGAACGATACACAAATAACCCGCACATAAAAGAGAGAAGCTTACGACGACGTTTCGGTCCGACTTGGACCATTGACAAAGTCACAGCAGCTTTTTGTTGGGTTATTAAAGGTTTAAGGTGGTTGGCTGTGGTTGATCCCCAGGCACAAATACCATAGGTGAGGTAAAGATATATTAAAGAGTGGTATAGGTAAGGAGTGTCATTTGGGGCACATAGTACTGTGTTTTGGAAAGAATGCTTACTGATTTGGAAATTTTCTTGGATATATGCTGGATGTAGGGATGAAATTTGAGATTATAGTCATGGGGAAGATCTAGACATTTACCCTCAGTTTGTCTTGTAGTGGGAGAACTCTTTATTGATATATGTATTAAGTTGGATATTTAAGGCTCTATATCCAAACAGCATGAAGTATATTTTGTCTATGTTGAGAGTTTGTTGGTCATCATCCAAGTACAGTGGACCCCCGGTTAACGATATTTTTTCATTCCAGAAGTATGTTCAGGTGCCAGTACTGACTGAATTTGTTCCCATAAGGAATATTGTAAAGTAGATTAGTCCATTTCAGACCCCCAAACATACATGTACAAACGCACTTACATAGATACACTTACATAATTGGTCGCATTGGGAGGTGATCGTTATGCGGGGGTCCACTGTATATATTTTTAGCAGCTTGTTGTTTACAGTGTGTCTAAGTATAGCTGGGTTTGAGTGGGAGTAGACATAATTAGTGTTGTCTGTGAATAGAACTGGTTTAAGGAGTTGAGATGCATTGGAGAGATCATTGATATAGATGAGAAAGAGGAGTGGGCCTAGGATGCTACCCTGGGGGGCACTGACAGCTAGAGGCTGGATAGTGGAATTGACTCCATTTGCGTGTACATACTGGTGTCTGTTGTTAAGATAAGATTTTAGGTAATCAAGGGAATACCCTCTGATACCATAATGGTTTAGTTTTAGGTGCAGGAGATTGTTGTCTTCTCCATGGTCTGGTCTCAGACCAGGCATCCTAGGTTGGAAAGGAAATATTACAGGATTGTCCATACACTCTGGCTGCTGCATTTGGAGTGGACATGTTAACATCTGTGCACCTCTGGCAAGACTGATAGTGTGAATGAGGGTGAAGGTGTTTCTTTTTCGGGTCACCCTGTTTTGGTGGGAGACAGCCAGCGTGTTAAAAAAAATATTAACATCGTACACTATATTGGTATTTCCATAGGCAACTGGAATAGATAACAAGTATGTAGATCAGACTGCTAATTTGGACTAGTTTAATATTTGGTTAAGGATGTTTAGTTTTTTCTTGAACCAGTTATTTGCATCATGCCAGGAGGGGAAGGTGCCACAGTTACTAGCAACCCTGACCATGAAAATACGGATGCCTCAACTGTTGATGCCCCAGTAAACTGCATTGAAAACTTGTCTTCTACTACTATTACTGCTGCTACTACCACCACCACCACTGATGCTACTACTACTACTGCCACCACTGCAGAAGAGCTTGCTACTCCCAGCACAAGCACTGGAAGCACTGAAGTTTCCCAGACATCGAGGCGCTCCCGGAGGATCTTAATTAGGAGTGATAAGAGCAATACTGCAGCAGGTAAGAATTAACCGTAAGAGTCATCACATTTCTCTCAGAATCAAAATTAACATCAATGTATTTTACCCATGTAGAGAGAATGGAGCGAAACAGAGTGACTTCAAGAGTGTATCAGTCTGTAGTGGAAGGAAGGCGGGGTAGGGGTCGGCCTAGGAAAGGTTGGAGAGAGGGGGTAAAGGAGGTTTTGTGTGCGAGGGGCTTGGACTTCCAGCAGGCATGCGTGAGCGTGTTTGATAGGAGTGAATGGAGACAAATGGTTTTTAATACTAAACTTGCTGTTGGAGTGTGAGCAAAGTAACATTTATGAAGGGATTCAGGGAAACCGGCAGGCCGGACTTGAGTCCTGGAGATGGGAAGTACAGTGCCTGCACTCTGAAGGAGGGGTGTTAATGTTGCAGTTTAAAAACTGTAGTGTAAAGCACCCTTCTGGCAAGACAGTGATGGAGTGAATGATGGTGAAAGTTTTTCTTTTTCGGGCCACCCTGCCTTGGTGGGAATCGGCCAGTGTGATAATAATAATAATAATAATAGTATTTTACCCAGCATTTTTGTGCATAGTACCAGTAGTGAGAAAATAAACTACAGTGGACCCCCGGTTAACGATTTTAATCCGTGCAAGAGGGGTAATTGTTATGCGAAATAATCGTTATGTGAATGAATTTTCCCCATAAGAAATAATGGAAATAAAATTAATCCGTGCAAGACACCCAAAAGTATGAAAAAAAAATTTTTTTTACCACATGAAATATTAATTTTAATACACACAAACTGAAAAAGGCATGCACACTTACATGACACTTACTTTTATTGAAGATCTGGTGATGATTGATGGGATGGGAGGAGGGGAGAGCATTATCTTCTTACTGTTTAGAAGGGGAATCCCTTCCATTAGGACTTGAGGTAGTAAGTCCTTTTTCTGGGGTTACTTCCTTCTTTTTTTTAATGCACTAGGGCCAGCTTCAGAGTCCACTGGACTTCTTTCGCACAAGATATCTGTCCATAGTGGCCTGTACCTCTCGTTCTTATTCACTTCCCTAAAGTGTTTCACAACATTGTCAGTGTAATAGTCACCAGCACGGCTTGCAATAGCTGTGTGAGGGTGATTTTCATCATGAAGGTTTGCACTTCAAGCCACTTTGCACAGATTTCCTTTATCTTTGTAGTAGGCAACTTCTTCAATTTCTCTCTCCCTCCTCTGAACCAGTTTCCCCAGGTCTGGCCTCTTGTCTCTGAAGTTGATCTATCAGCTCATCAGTGGTTAGTTCTTCATTGTCCTCCTCCACCAACTCTTCCACATCCTCCCACTAACTCCAACCCCAAGGACTTTCCAATGCCACAATGGATTCCTCAACTGGCATACTCCTCTCAGGGTTAGCCTCAAACCCTTCAAAATCCCTTTGGTCTACACATTCTGGCCACAGTTTCTTCCAAGCAGAGTTCAAGGTCCTCTTAGTCACTCCCTCCCAAGCCTTACCTATAAGGTTTACACAATTGAGGATATTAAAGTGATCTCTCCAAAACTCTCTTAGAGTCAGTTGAGTTTCTGAGGTCATTACAAAGCACCTTTCAAACAGAGCTTTTGTGTACAGTTTCTTGAAGTTGGAAATAACCTGCTGGTCCATGGGCTGCAGGAGAGGAGTGGTATTAGGAGGCAAAAACTTGATGTTAATGAATTTCATGTCCCCATAAAGTTGCTCTGCCACGTCTGTAGGATGACCAGGGGCATTGTCTAACACCAGGAGGCACTTAAGTTCTAATTTCTTTTCAGTTTAGGTAATCTTTCACATTGGGGGCAAATGCATGGTGTAACCAGTTATAGAAAAATTCCCTAGTGACCATGCCTTACTGTTTGCCCTCCACAGCACACACAAATTATCCTTGAGGACATTCTTTTGCCTGAACGCTCTGGGAGTTTCAGAGTGATACACTAATAAAGGCTTCACTTTGCAATCACCAGTAGCATTGGCACACATGAGAAGAGTAAGCCTGTCTTTCATAGGCTTATGTCCTGGGAGTGCCTTTTCGTCCTGAGTAATGTAGGTCCTGCTTGGCATTTTCTTCCAGAACAGGCCTGTTTCATCACAATTAAACACTTGTTCAGGTTTCAGTCCTTCAGTTTCTATATACTCCTTGAATTCCTGCACATATTTTCAGCTGCTTTGTGGTCCGAACTGGCAGCCTCACCATGCCTTATCACACTATGGATGCCACTACGCTTCTTAAATCTCTCAAACCAACCTTTGCTGGCCTTAAATTCACTCACATCATCACTAGTTGCAGGCCTTTTTTTAATTAAATCGTCATGCAACTTCCTAGCCTTTTCACATATGATCGCTTGAGAGACGCTATCTCTGCTAGCTGTTTTTCATTTATCCACACCAATAAGAGTCTCTCAACATCTTCCATCACTTGCGATCTTTGTTTCGAAAACACAGTTAAACCTTTGGCAACAACAGCTTCCTTGATTGTCTTTTTGGTGCCCACAATAGTAGCGATGGTTGATTGGGGTTTCTTGTACAACTTGACTAGGTCGGCAATACGCACTCCACTTTCATACTTATCAATGATCTCTTTCTTCATTTCATGGGTATCCTTACCCTTATTGGTGTACGGTTGGCACTAGAAGCTTTCTTGGGGCCCATGGTCACTTATTTTCCAGAAACACCACCGAAAACACTGTAATAATACGAAATATTCCGAGTGTATGCTTGGATGTTAGCGCGGAGGCTGCCTGGTAAACAATGGCACGGGCGGCACATGTGAGGCTGGGTGAGGGCGCACATTAGACGCGTCTCGGACGAAAATCGGTGAGCGGGTTTTTAATCGGTATGCGCGGCAAAAATTTTGCGATTAAAGTAAGCGGTATGCGAAATAATCGCTATGTGATGCCATCGTTATGCGGGGGTCCACTGTATTGGTTCTTGAACTTTGTTCTATTAAATAGCATTGATTATCATAAAAGAAATGGCTATGATCTTCTGTATATAGTGAAAAGAAATTGCAACTTTGAACAGATTACAGTAGTTACCCCTATCATTATGATTTTTTGGGAGAAACTACATTAATACTCTATAAAACATTAATGTGTCATCATCTATATTTCATTCAGAGTTAATAAAGGTGGAGATAAAATATGTACTGCTGTATTTCTTGTATTGATGGAAAGACAAGCAAAAGTTTTCATTACCCCGTTATATTGTACTAAACCTACTGACAATGAATCAAGTAGAGGTACATTTAGTGACACAGGGTAATGGAAAGTGGTATTGTCTTTTGATGTATGCCATAGACATATTATGCTCTATGTAGTGATGGGTCAGTCGACGTAGGCTTTCCACCAACTAAATTGTTCATCTTCATTGTACTAAACTTGAGAGCAGTTGGCTCTTAAAAACATTAATATATCTTGGATGATGATTATTACGTTGCCTATATAATCCCTATGAGTTTAGAGCTTCCCCATGATTAATAGTGATAATGCATTAATTTGGAAACAGCTTCTGCTACAGTGTCAGGCCCTATTGATGTAAAATCTAACTAGAAATTCAACTTTGATAAACATGAGCTATTTTCTTAGAAATTATAGTTTTAAACTGTATATTTTTGTGTATTCTATATGTGGATACTAGAAAGAATAAGAATGGCACAATACTATGACCGGAACAATACGTAAATAGCCCTCACATAGGAGAAGGAAACTTATGGCGATGTTTTGGTCTGACTTGGACCATAAACTAGTCCACACTGTGTGGCTAGTTAATGGTCCAATTCAGTCCAAAATATCATCATAAGTTTTTCTCCTGTGTGTGGGCTATTTGTGAATACAGTTGACCCTTGAATTTCATCATCCCTTTCTGAATGTAAAACTGTAGTTGTAATGAAGTTGGTAGAATTACCGACAATATGTAAAGTAAAAGGACACAAGTGCAACTAATGTGACATTTTATTGTGGCAAAGCTCCTGGAGAGCGAAACGTTGCCACAGTAGAATGTCACATTAGTTGCACTTGTGTCCTTTTACAAAACTGTAGTTATTCTCTATAAAATATATTTTTTGTTAATATTTTTGGGTGTCTGGAATGGATTAATTGGCTTTACATTATTTCTTATGGGAAATATTAACAACAAATACATTTTATAGAGAATACAAAAAATGGGATGTATAAAATTCGAGGGTCCACTGTACTAGCTTAAAATTGTTATTCTTGTCTTGTTCTTACAGTGTAAGTCTTTGGTAAATTCTGTAAACTTAAGGAGTAAGAGGTTTGCTAGGATGTTCAAACTGATTTATGAAGACTAATAATTTCAGTGAAGAAATGTTTCTCCAGCCTGTGTTCTTCAGTCCAATATAGAGAAAAACAATGGAGGAGGAGGAGTTTGAAGGACCGATTACCTCAAACTACTACTACTCTTCCACCATTCTTCTCTATATTGGACTGATGAAGCCACTGGCTGGCAAAATGTTTCCTCAGTAAAGATTTGCAAATGTTGCACAAGTGTCTCATTCTTCAGCTGGGAAGTTGACATAAAAAAAAGGGTATAAAAAAGTTGATCATTCCTTTATATCTGCATCTCTTGCTCCTTCTGTATCTCTTTAATATTCTTGTATACCTGTACCTCACTTGTCCTCAGTCATTTTTTAGCATCTTGTTAGTATTCTTATTCATCTTCTCATTGTCTCTTTAGTTTCATTTTCCTACATCTCCATTCTCACTATACTTTCCTCTTATGATCAGTGTCTTTCCATTTTATCCATTCCACTTCTTTCATTAACTTGCTTACCTATGTTTCCATTCCTGTTTCACACTAAGTGATGTACAGGTACATATGTATTCATATGTACCTCTGTATCTTTAACATCTGCCTAAAACTTGACTCTCTCTCTCTCACTCTCTCTCTCTCACTCTCTCTCACTCTCTCTCTCTCACTCTCTCTCTCACTCACTCTCTCTCACTCTCTCTCAACTCACTCTCTCTCTCACTCTCACTCTCTCTCTCTCACTCTCTCACTCTCTCTCTCTCTCTCTCTCTCTCTCTCTCTCTCTCTCTCTCTCTCACTCTCTCTCTCTCACTCTCACTCTCTCTCTCTCTCATCTTCTCTCACTCACTCTCTCTCTCTCTCTCACTCTCTCCTCTCACTCTCACTCTCACACTCTCTCACTCTCACTCACTCACTCTCTCTCTCTATCTCTCTCTCTCTCTCTCTCTCTCATCCTCCTCTCTCCTCTCTCTCTCTCACTCTCCTCCTCTCTCACTCTCTCTCACTCTCACTCTTCTCTCACTCTCTCTCTCACTCTCTCTCTCACTCTCTCTCTCTCTCTCTCTCTCTCTCTCACTCACTCCTCTCTCACTCTCCACTCTCACTCTCTCACTCTCTCACTCTCTCTCTCTCTCTCTCTCTCTCTCTCTCTCTCTCTCTCTTTCTCTCTTTTTTTTTTAATATTAATCTCATGACACAACTGTATTCTAATAATATTTTTGGGAATCAGCACAGGCTGAAGGAGATAAATCTGTGCGTCACATTCACTCTTTCTTGGCCATGCGCAAGAGAAAATACCGACGCGATGAAGACGTCTCTAAAGAAATGGAGAAAACAATCCAACATCATCATAATGTGTAAGTACAGTGTAATAATGTGTATGTACAATATAATGTGTAAGTTGACTATCATTATTAATTTATTCTCACTCTTAGCAAATACAGTAGTAGTAATTGCTTTGCAATAGTTAGTGTTGCTTATTATTCATGGGGCCAGACTCATGCTTTAAATGATGGGATATTAGAGACTAGGTTATGGATTTAGGATGGAGGATCAAGCCTGCACCACTCCTTGCCTCATGAACTGCAGTCTGGATATTTAAAGTCAAATAATCAAGTGTCCAGCACACTGGCTACTACTGATTACTGTTTACCACAGTTGAGGCTTGATGCTGGTGAAGGCTTCTTGTTCCAAGGAAATGGAACAACCCTCACCTTCTTTGACTTGTATATAATTACAGTACCTCCCACTCTGCTGTATCAGAAATCATATCAAATCAAAATTTTTATTTCTTTTTATAGTATACAATGTGTAGTTTACATGTAGTAAAATAGATACTGAAAGAAGGCCACTAATATGAATGAGCATTTCATTAAGATTCATTGTATAAATTCTGATGCAAGTCTCATCAGTATAAGTTGAGGTTGTTCTTGTTCAAGTTAATCTTAACTCATTTTCATAATTTTTTGAGATTTTCTTGATACTTGCCTGACCAACTAAGCCATTGTCCCCTTAAGTGTTTAAGCCTTTTCTTATACAAAGGTCCTGAAGATTGACAAAGATGTTTTGCATTAGTTTTGGCCTTTTATGTTAAGTTGACATTAAATTAATGATGCATTGTGAATATATGCAATTTTGATAGACATTGTATTTTCTCCCTTTTTTAAACCAAAGACTAGAGAAATCATTATATCTAGGCAATTAGCTGATTTACTAAGGTTTTTTCATATTCCAGCACTGACTATGAGGAAATCAATGTGGCCGTGCGACCGTGGGTCCGTCTGAATGGGACGCTGAACAGGCGCGTCCTAGACCGCCTCTTGGGTGCTGTTCTCAGCTTGGTCATGGAACGGCCAGGGATCAGTGGGAAAAGACGTTGTGTGTCGCTTTTCCCCCGCCTTACAGCCCGCCCACACCCACGACTTGCTGGATACGTTGGTTTACTTGCGTGCTTTGTGAAGGAGGAACTTGTACCCTCTCACAAACCTTCTCTCTTCTCTGACACCGTCGAATACTTTTTGGGGTAAGTTTTAGCATTTATTTAGTAGATGAAGTATGGTATGGCCATCAGATTTTAAAAAAAGACACACAGCAAAAGACTTTATTAATATGATGTTTCACTTAGTGAAGTTGTGAAACATTGACTGGTATTACAGGTCACCTGTTTATCCTGACCTGGCTTACAGGTCAGTCAATCTGTAAATATAATAGAAAGTTACTCATGGGGCAGAGTGAACTTTCATTCTTTAGATTGTAAAATTAAAAGGAGAAACTTCATTTTCTTTTTAGGCCACCCTGCCTCGGTGGGATACGGCGGGTGTGTTGAAAGAAGAAAGTATTACTCTAAGCACCGCTTTATCAAGGTCTGTTTTAGAGAGTGTGCATGCTTGTACTCACATACTATGGTTACAGAAAGAACCACAAGACACAATACCACGACTGGAACAATGCACAAATAACCTCCCATGTAAGAGAGAGAAGTTTATGACAATGTTTCAGCCTGACTTCATGTGTTAGTGTAACTTGTAAATGGTCCATGTCAGACCAGAATGTCACCTTAAGCTTCTCTCTCCTATGGGGGTTTATTTTGTATTTGTGGTTACAGGTTCATTACATTCATGGAAATGTGGAATCTCGGCTAACCTCTGGATGTAAAATCTAATAACTTGCTTTTAGAATTATTACTGGATTAGCTGTTCACGGGTAATCGCACTTAGGGAAAGAAACTTAAAGATATTTCAGTCTTTGACATGACGATGGTTTAGGATGGACAGAAACATCATCGTAAGGCCCCTCTCAAAATTTACGGGTTTTTTAAAATGAAGTGTTCTAGCCTTGGCATTATGACTTTTATTCTTTAATAGTATTTATTAAAACACTAGAAGTTTTCTATCGAATAAGATTCTTTTTAATTCCTCTTTTTGTATCTTTTCTTTAGTTCAAGCTGAAATCACGACTATGATGAGGATTTGCTTTTACGAACCCACCGTGGAGTGTGCTGAAGCTAGCAGTGTTCATTGGAGATAAGAAGTATTCCCAGGATTTTCTATCAGGAGACAGGGTGATGATGATTTTTTTTTTTTCATTATTCTGTAATATAATGTTATGCAATACTGCTTGCTTGATTTTACCTTACTGCTACAATGTCATTAGTCATGATGTCATTATTTAATGTTTCATGCTAATGTTTCTTGAAGCGTAGAAAGGGTGGCATTAGATTATAATAAACAAGGACATTCTTATTGATTTAAAAGATGGACATTTCTTGCAGCAAAAAAAAAAAAAGTATATCAGTTATGGAAAAAACCACTTAGACAAATTTTCTTTATATTTCAGTAATGATTTTTGATCTCAACATGAAAAGGGTATTTATTTAATTTTTTTTTTTTTTCAAAATATAAATGGCGTTGCTTATTAATCTTGAAAGGACTTTCTCCTGGATTGTAAATGTTCATTATTTAGTCTTGTTTTACACACAAATACGTAAACATGGAAACATTTTCATGTATGTCGATGGAATCAAGAGATGATGTTTATTCTTGTATCTGTTAATTTGATTCATGATCGATTTAGTCACTGGAGGGGTAATAAAGAATATTAATTAAGAGTTGGCTTAACTGGCAGGTGTTTGAACTGAAATATAAAAGATGTTTGAGAATAGAGTCTGGTTTTAAATGCTTCAACATTTAGCTCAAATAATTATTCGATACTGATAGTATAAAGGGTTTTAATTCTTCGTAAGAAGGCTATAAATGTTTGTAAACTAGGAATCACATTCAGGGAAAATACTTTTGAATTAAAAAATGAATCGTACTTATATAAATATTTTATACGTATATGCAATTTTTTTTTTTTTCCCAACAAGTCGGCCGTCTCCCACCGAGGCAGGGTGACCCAAAAAGAAAGAAAATCCCCAAAAAGAAAAATACGTCATCATCATTCAACCTTTCCCCCTCACTCACACATTATCACTGTTTTTGCAGAGGTGCTCAGAATACAACAGCTTCGAAGATGCTCAGAATTAAAAAAATGAATCTTACTTATACATGTATATATACGTTATGCAAATATAATTATAAATTGGTGCTTCTCAAAATGACGTTTATCTGATGTTATTTTAAACAAAAAAATATGGTAGTATCTTTTAGCCGAGTCTGCACCAACCAACTCTCTCTCTTCCACCGCTGTTATATCATTTACACACGTGTGTCAGAGTACTGATGGGATACACTACTAACGCACTTATTAATAAAACACATGTGCAAAACTCGGGTTTCTTTATTGTAAAAATGTGTTCAGTCAAATTGTTTGGGGGTTTCTTTGAGAAGAGGGAAGGTAGCAGTGACCATAACAGAGGAGGGTGTTGTGTTTGTATATTGTTGCACAAAAATGGAGCCCAGCGCTATGTCCATCCGCCACTTGGGCTGGGTTCTAACGGAGACCTGCAGCCTAGCATATGCTGTTCAAAAGGAATGCTCTCATGACACTTTGCAAATGTACAGAGGGATGCTTTGTATAATGGTCCATAATATATATATATACCACACAAGTTTGCACCACTGACAAAATAGGAGGCAAGTACTCTTTCTGTATTCAACTGAAGAAGCTTCCTGTACAGGTGTAAACATCACAGCAGTAAAAAGATCCATAGTACAGGTGGGGCTTAAACTCGGCAAGTGGTTTGTTTGCAGCCACATCATTACGATTTCATGAGGCAGCAGTGGTTAACATGTTTTTATTCATCATCTTCCCATCAGCTTCTCTGACCACTCACATACAACCTTAACTGACATTAAATTCAGAGCTGGATATTGTCTTTGCTCTACAGCCTTCTCTAATGCTATATCTGAACAGAATTTGTACAAAGAACAAAAAGACACAATACTGTGGCTGGAACATATACAAATAATCTGCACATAGGAAAGAGAAGCTTACAAATTTATATAATTGTAACCTAGACAACAATAATATATGCAGTTGATGCACCAATGTTGTACTCTCCCATGATAGTCTTACACATATCTTCACATGTACAGTGGACCCCCGGTTAACGATTTTAATCCGTGCAAGAGGGCTCATCGTTATGCGAAATAATCGTTATGCGAATTAATTTTCCCCATAAGAAATAATGGAAATAAAATTAATCCGTGCAAGACGCCCAAAAGTATGAAAAAAAATTTTTTTTACCACATGAAATGTTAATTTTAATACACACAAACTGAAAAAGGCATGCACAATTACATGACACTTATTTTATTGAAGATCTGGTGTTTGATTGATGGGATGGGGGAGGGGGGGAACATTATCTTCTTACTGTTTAGAAGGGGAATCCCTTCCATTGGATTGAGGTAGAAGTCCTTTTCTGGGGTTACTTCCCTTCTTCTTTTAATGCCACTAGGACGCTTCAGAGTCACTGGACCTCTGTCGCACAACAAATCTGTCCATAGAGCTCTGTACCCCCGTTTCTTCAAGACTTTCCTAAATGGGCCATAACATTGTCATTGAAATAGTCACAAGCACGGCTTGCAACGCTGTGTCGGGGTTTGATTTTCATCTATAAAGGTTTGCGTTCAACCACTCTGCACACATTTCCTTAATCTTTGAAGTAGGCACAATGGATTCCAAAAACTGGCATAGGCTTCTCAGGGTTAGCCCCAAACCCTTCAAAATCTTTCTTAATTTCCATACTAATTCTCACCCTTTTTACCACAGGGTTGGAACTAGAAGCTTTCTTGGGGCCATGGTCACTTATTTTCCAAAAAACACCACCGAAAACCATGTAATAATACGAAATATTCCGAGTGTATGCTTGGATGTTACTGCGGAGGCTGGCTGGTAAACAATGGGACGGCCGGCACATGTGAGGGCACATTGGACGCGTCTCGGACGAAAATCGGTATGCGGGTTTTTAATCGGTATGCGGGGCAAAAATTTTGCGATAAAAGTAATCGTTATGCGGAAAAATCGCTATGCGATGCCATCGTTATGCGGGGGTCCACTGTATTAATGTGCAATAAGATAATGTGTGAGATCACAAAAAAGCTTGGAATAATACTTCTTTTCACTATGATTATAATGCATTGCATTTATTATGTCCACTTACTATTTATCAAACTTTGCATTATCCTGTGGAGAAGCCTTTCTGAGGTTATAATATGGCAAATTATTATTATTACTATTTATGGGGAGGTGCTAAATTTGTAGGTGTCAGTGTCTAGGGAATGGAAGGCAGTCAAGTTTGAGTCAAGGAATTGGGGGTAGCTCAGTTTCCCTGGTTCAAGAGCCCTTGGTCGACGTCAAGGCCCCTACATAAAAGGGGACGGTGTAAAGAATGAGTTAAAATGCACGATGTGGACAAAGGACATGTATGTGAATGTGTCGCATTTGTACATTGTTTAGCTCGAGAACATTTTTCAAGTTAGAGCAAAACGTAAACCAAAGTATGGATTTTTTAAATTCTTTTTGCCTTTGTCCATATATCTGTTTGTGGTTCACCTCCGGGCCAGATTAAAAGGTACAAAACAAGTCACAATAATAGCCAATGATGTGTTTGAGTGGCCTTCTCACAGTGATGCTCATATGAATTGCCCTCTCACTCCACTACTTACTGTGATGCTCGTAGAAGTAGCTCTCTCGCTCCACCACCACTTAGTATGATGCTCATACGAGTGGCTCTTACTGTGCCACTAAGTGTGATGCTGCTTGTGAGTGGCCTCTCACCATGCTGCTCAGTGTGATGCTTGTATGAGTGGCCGTTTCACCATGGCATTGTTTATGAGTGGCTGTGCTCCTGCCACATCACTGTGTCACTCTTGGATACAATACAACATACAGTAATAGTCCTTGTGGCTTAGCGCTTCTTTTTGATTATAATAATAATAATAACATACAGTAATCACACTCTTGAACTTAACACCAAATGATCCCTAAATTATCTACAACATAGTTTGAAAAGGACAGAGCATTTTAAGGTAAGCAGAATGAAATACGTGGACCCCCGGTTTATATTATTTCATTCCAGAAGTATGTTCAGGTGCCAGTACTGACCGAATTTGTTCCCATAAGGAATATTGTGAATTAGAGTAGTCCATTTCAGACCCCAAACACCACACATAAAAACCCCACTTACATAAAAAACACTTACAAAATTGGTCGCATTGGGAGCTGATCGAAAACCCGGGGGTCCACTGTATTTTCTTCAAAACCTTTTTTTTTATCAACTCTGAGGCTATGGGTCCCCACAATTTATATTTCATCTGTATGATCTTGTGGTTTAGCACTCATTTTATGATTAAAATAATTATATTTCACATGAAATTTTTTTTTTAAACACACGGCCATCTCCTACCGAGGTAGGGGACCTGAAAAAGAAGAAGCACTCTCACCATCACTCGCTCCACTGTCTTGCCAGAGGTGCAACAAAATACAGTTCATGTCCCTCCAAACTTTTTACTAATAGAATTTCAATGAAAACAGAAATCCTCTAATCTCTAGGACTCTGCATTAATGAGATGCAACTGTTGCTAAATATTTATAAACACTGGTTTAGGAAATTACAATTTATTGTGTCATTAAGAATTTTCTGGGCAAAAATTGGTTAAAATCCTTTCCCCGTAAGCCATGCATAGCACTTGTAACTTATCAGGAATATTAAAAAAAAAAAGGAAATTTTAAAGTTGGGTTGTTTGAATGTACATATATATAATAGGTGGCTTGTAGCTTAAAGTGGTGGCACATTTGGCTCACATATGAAGGGCCTGGGTTTGATCCTGGCACAGTTGGAAACTTTTGTTATACATGTATTTCCTTACAAATATTACTTCTGTTTACCTAGCAGTAAGTAGGTACCCTGGTGTTAGTTGCCTGTTGTGAATTGCATCTTGTGGAAGTTGTTTAAAAGGCCCCGCATTGGAAACAAGCCAGACATGCCTCTGGGTTATCCGGGGATTACTAATCATCTAGGTTAATAATCATAATAAATCTTTAATCAGTGTTTAAAAAGAAAATGGTGCATGTTTTGTTAGGGTCAAACTATATTTTTTTATTTTAATGGACTTTACTACATTATAAAGAATAAAAGTCAGTGTTGTGGCTGGAACAGTTAACCAAGACCTTAAAAAGGTCTCTGTCCTAGTCTTTCAGGACAAACCTAAATGGGGGCCTTAAGTTTCCTGGTAAAGACGTACAGTTTTGAAGAATCAAACTTTACAAAACAGAAGCTTTTTTTTTTTTTTTTTTTTTTTTTAATTTATTAGGGTGTAAATGTTTTAAATCTTGATAACAGTTTTTATTACTACCCTAAGATGTTTCTACCCTTGCATGCTGGAAAACCTCACTTTTTCCTTCCTCATAATGCTAGTGACAGGGGAAACCTGGGTTTACTCAAACAGCTTCCTACTTAAACAATTCAGTTTTTCGAAAAACTTTGTTCGGTAAAAAAATCGCTTGGCACCGACCAAACAAACATGACCTGCCAGAACTTCACTGTAAACTACGTATTTTGTGTTTCTTCACATTTTTTGGTGTTTTTTATAACTGTATAAATAAGTCACCATGGGGGGCCTAAGAAGATTAGTGATAACAGCCAACCAAAAAGAAAATTGGTTGGGAAAAATTTGTTTGATACTCAAACAGATCGGCACTCTAACAGCCTTCTGGAACGAATTAAGTTTGAGTACCAAGGTTCCACATTTATTCTAATGGCCAAAAACCCTAAAGGGAAAGGGGTTCCTGATGTTGGTGAGGGGCTCTTGATTTAGGGAATTGGATTTGTGCTCCAGTTCCCCGAATTAAGCCTGAATGCCTTCCACATCCCCCCCCCCCAGGCGCTGTATAATCCTCCGGGTTTAGCGCTTCCCCCTTGATTATAATAATAATAATAATGGCCACAACACATTTCCTCCTTTATAATATTTGTGTCCCAAACATGTTTCCCTCTATTGGAGCGGAAAATTTAGTTTTCTTTAGGTGGATATGTTAACACCTGTGGAAAGGGGCAAAATCGTTTCTCCAATGATTGACTAAATTAGAGCCTTCACTGTGTTCTTATTGCTTGAGAGTAAATATAGGAAGGCAGAAAATAATGAAATGTAAACAAGCTTCTATTGGCCAGAAAAGTAACGAGAAATAAACCCTCAGTGTGTCTGAGGTCATTATTTGAATAAACCCAATTTAAGGCAAACGAACATTGCTGGGCCATTGAGGTTTTTCCTAGAGATAGTGGTGGTGTTTTGTTTATCAGGAAACTCTTTAATCATTTCATAATATGCTAATCAGTCAGGTGATGGCCCACTCATTAATTTAACAACTGCCAAGCATCTGTAATTAAGCCCGCACTTGCATACTAATTTCATGTATGTACCAGTAGTTAAGCAGTTGTTTTGTTTATCAGTGCTGTTTTTGTTTACCAGTTGTTTTGTTTATCAGTGCTGTTTTTGTTTACCAGTTGTTTTGTTTACCAGTGCTGTTTTTGTTTACCAGTTGTTTTGTTTACCAGTGCTGTTTACCAGTTGTTTTGTTTACCAGTGCTGTTTTTGTTTACCAGTTGTTTTGTTTACCAGTGCTGTTTTTGTTTTCCAGTTGTTTTGTTTACCAGTGCTGTTTTTGTTTACCAGTTGTTTTGTTTACCAGTTGTTTTGTTTACCAGTGCTGTTTTTGTTTACCAGTTGTTTTGTTTACCAGTGCTGTTTTTGTTTACCAGTTGTTTTGTTTACCAGTGCTGTTTACCCGTTGTTTTGTTTACCCGTGCTGTTTTTGTTTTCCAGTTGTTTTGTTTACCCGTGCTGTTTTGTTTACCAGTTGTTTTGTTTACCAGTGCTGTTTTTGTTTACCAGTTGGTTTGGTTTACCAGTGCTGTTTTTGTTTACCAGTTGTTTTTTTTTACCAGTGCTGTTTTTGTTTACCAGTTGTTTTGTTTACCAGTGCTGTTTTTGTTTACCAGTTGTTTTGTTTACCAGTGCTGTTTTTGTTTACCAGTTGTTTTGTTTACTAGTGCTGTTTTTGTTTACCAGTTGTTTTGTTTACTAGTGCTGTTTTTGTTTACCAGTTGTTTTGTTTACTAGTGCTGTTTACCAGTTGTTTTGTTTACTAGTGCTGTTTTTGTTTACCAGTTGTTTTGTTTACTAGTGCTGTTTTTGTTTACCAGTTGTTTTGTTTACTAGTGCTGTTTACCAGTTGTTTTGTTTACCAGTGCTGTTTTCCACTACATTTAAAAACTAAGAATAAAATAGTCTTAGAATTTAATTTTTGAGTAAATCTCAGGTTAAGATATTTAGGAGAGAATGTGAACATTGTACACTAAAACTAGTTTAGTGTATTTATACACTAAACATTTTTTTTTTTCATATAGGCCATCTACCACCCAGGTAGGGTGACCCAAAATAAAAGCGAATGTACAGTATTTCATTTTTTTGGGCCATGTTTCCTTGATGGGAGGTGGCAAATGTGTTAAAAAAAATAATAAGAGTGCTGGGAAGAGGTGTCATCTTAAAAGATAAATTTTTTATGTAGCGAGAGTTGTCAGTTGTTCTTTGCTGATGATGCAGTGTTTCTGGGCGATTAGAGTGGAGGGGGATTTGACATGTTTTATCATGTTGGCATGATATTTTTAGAAATTGATGAAAGACAATTAGTTTTACTTGAGTTTTGAAGATGGGAATTACAGTGCATGCATTTTGAAAGTTGCTTGGGGGATATAGTGTCCCGGGGGCCACTGCATTGTGGGTAGCTAAATTTAAATGATGTGGTAAGTGTATTTTCTTCTTTGGGCCACTTAAACCCTTTGTGGGAAATGTCAATTGTTAAAAAATTAAAACAATAATGCCCTAAAAATCATCCTGTGTGTGTGTGGTGTTTGCAACATGGTCCTTTTTAAACAGGACTTCAAAATACGATATGCAGATAACCCGGAGCTTTACTAGAGTTACTATAATTCAGGAAAGGTATGTAAGGAACATTTTTTCACCTGTTTTTCACACTAATGAAGCCATGGACTTTGCAGTGGATGTGATAGATTTGTTCGTTATGTGATAGCTCTCATGTGAGTAATAACTCTAGCATAAAGGCATCTATGATCATTATTCTCTTCCTAATGTGCTTAAAGCCTTTTTTTTTTATCACCAGGGTCCCTATGACTCACCTCATTGCACAGGTGCTTCTTGTTGACCATACCCCATAAATTTAACTTTATGGCACCCTTTGTCTCCCCTTCCTCCCATCCTTTTAGTGCCTATGCTGATATTTAAAATAGATCACGTAGCAGAGAACGCAAACACCAGGTGTCAGGTGAGCTGCTTGCCATCGTGTGTCATCCTTGTCCACCCTTTGAAGTTTCAATCATGAGTCGTCATGGTGGTCTGCCTCTGCGCTTGCTGTGTGTCCTCCTGGTTCACTTACTGGTGGCACACCCTGCTCTTGCTTCAGTCCTGAAAGAGAAGCTCAAGGTATGTTTTAAGTACGTACCCATTTATGCACCTATTTTCAGTTTTCCACATTTTCGTTGGCTTCAGATGGAGTCATTGTTTATCTTCCATCTGCCAGCAGATGGAACAGTGGCTCAACTGAAAGCCAACGAAAACATGGAACGCTTAAAAATAGGTGCTGTATATGCAGGGCCCTCCTGTATGTGTATTACAGTTTAGCATAAAATTGATACCTACTGTCACACCAGTATTCATCTCTGGTAATCCCCTCTGTTTTATGTTCACCTGTTGACTGCCTCTTTAACAGAATGCAGTTATATATACTATCAATATATACTGTAAACTCATGTGCTATTTTGCATAAAGTATAGTATGACAGGGTGGATAGGGGGGCAATGTGGCAGATGTTGCAAGTGTATGGTGTAGGAGGTAGGTTACTGAAAGCAGTGAAGAGTTTTTACGAGGATAGTGAGGCTCAAGTTAGAGTATGTAGGAAAGAAGGAAATTTTTTCCCAGTAAAAGTAGGCCTTAGACAAGGATGTGTGATGTCACCGTGGTTGTTTAATATATTTATAGATGGGGTTGTAAGAGAAGTAAATGCGAGGGTCTTGGCAAGAGGCGTGGAGTTAAAGATAAAGAATCACACACAAAGTGGGAGTTTTCACAGCTGCTCTTTGCTGATGACACTGTGCTCTTGGGAGATTCTGAAGAGAAGTTGCAGAGATTGGTGGATGAATTTGGTAGGGTGTGCAAAAGAAGAAAATTAAAGGTGAATACAGGAAAGAGTAAGGTTATGAGGATAACAAAAAGATTAGGTGATGAAAGATTGAATATCAGATTGGAGGGAGAGAGTATGGAGGAGGTGAACGTATTCAGATATTTGGGAGTGGACGTGTCAGCGGATGGGTCTATGAAAGATGAGGTGAATCATAGAATTGATGAGGGAAAAAGAGTGAGTGGTGCACTTAGGAGTCTGTGGAGACAAAGAACTTTGTCCTTGGAGGCAAAGAGGGGAATGTATGAGAGTATAGTTTTACCAACGCTCTTATATGGGTGTGAAGCGTGGGTGATGAATGTTGCAGCGAGGAGAAGGCTGGAGGCAGTGGAGATGTCATGTCTGAGGCAATGTGTGGTGTGAATATAATGCAGAGAATTCGTAGTTTGGAAGTTAGGAGGAGGTGCGGGATTACCAAAACTGTTGTCCAGAGGGCTGAGGAAGGGTTGTTGAGGTGGTTCGGACATGTAGAGAGAATGGAGCGAAACAGAATGACTTCAAGAGTGTATCAGTCTGTAGTGGAAGGAAGGCGGGGTAGGGGTCGGCCTAGGAAGGTTTGGAGGGAGGGGGTAAAGGAGGTTTTGTGTGCGAGGGGCTTGGACTTCCAGCAGGCATGCGTGAGCGTGTTTGATAGGAGTGAATGGAGACAAATGGTTTTTAATACTTGACGTGCTGTTGGAGTGTGAGCAAAGTAACATTTATGAAGGGATTCAGGGAAACCGGCAGGCCGGACTTGAGTCCTGGAGATGGGAAGTACAGTGCCTGCACTCTGAAGGAGGGGTGTTAATGTTGCAGTTTAAAAACTGTAGTGTAAAGCACCCTTCTGGCAAGACAGTGATGGAGTGAATGATGGTGAAAGTTTTTCTTTTTTGGGCCACCCTGCCTTGGTGGGAATCGGCCGGTGTGATAATAAAAAAATAAAATATAGTATATGTACATATATACTAATTCTGTATAAAAAAAAAATGGGGTGGTAGAAGTAGAATATTTAAACATCCTCAAGGAGAAATATCAGTATTTTTCCTCGAAGCCTTTCTGTTTATTTCTCCAAGACTATGGGTCCCTTCACCTGCATGTTTGTGTTGACACCAGAAAGATTACATTGCAAAAAGTCTGTTAAATTCTTTATCCTAAATATTATTTTATATGTACTGTCTAAATTTGCATGTGTTCCTAATGAATATTGCCTATTTCTCCACATTTTTTGCTGAGACTATCATCCTGTTTAAAAGAAGTTGTTTTCAACAGTTCGACAATGCAAAAATAAAGTCTGCCAGAGAGAGCTATGCTGTCTTCAGAAGCCAGTCCCCAGCTGCATGTCAGACTCCTCAAGGTATGATGCCTCATTCAGGCTTAACCGTAGTTACTGGTGTACTGTACATGAAGTAATATACAGTGGACCCTCACCTAACGATATTAATTGGTACCCGAGAACGAATATCGTTAGGCGAGTTTTTTAGCGTTAGCCGAGGCAAAATGTTAGCGTTAGAATGTATCGTTAGGCGAATTTAACGTTATGCGATGCGTTCGTTAGGCGAGGGTCCACTGTATATGCATGTTGCAACTATTGTTTGGCTTTACTGTTGCAGTTTTAGGTACCAGAGAACACTCCAGCTTATAAACAAGTTGCATTGTGATGTCTCCGTATTCCTGTATACTTTTTCTATCTTAATAAACTTTTATTCTTGTAATCTGAGTTTGTGAAGATGATACAGAAGTAACTCTTTGATCTTCATAAATGGTGTGACAGTTTCTGATTCTTTTTACCCAACCCTCACTCTGGCCTAATTTGTGCTTAAAATTTTTATATTGTTATTGTGGCCTAATTTAGTTCTTGATAACTGCTAAGGTATTATTGATTTGAGTCAAACATTCTTCAGATTACACTTGACAAGTTGTAAACCTCTATGTTGGTTTATTAAATACAGTAGAGCCCCTTTATCCACTTATTCAGTATCCGTGGTTTCAATTATCCATGGTTACTGTGGCCCAAAAGTACCTCTTAATTTTGCATAATAATGGCCCTAAAGCATAAACGTAGAGAAGCTGACAGTTGTTCAAAACCTTAGAGAAGCCGTGAAGTGTTTCCCATCAGTGAAAAAGTGATGATTCTCCAATTACTGTTCATAATTTATCAATTAAGCTGTATAATAGGCATGTATATAGGACCTGTATATGGGATTTGCTACTATCCACAGTTTTGGTATGCATGGCAGGTCCTTGGAACATATCCCCCACACTCACCCTGTTGACTTTAAACACAGAAATACAAATCTTAAAATAATCAATCCTAACTAGTCATAAGTTTGCCTGTGATACTCCAGTATAGAAACTGTGTATTGTACCAAAACTAAAGCCTTCACATTGCTAAATTTACAAACTGTAATGTAGTTACTTAGCCTTAATACCAACTTGCTCCATAATCTGTAATAATTTTTTATTATTTTATTTTATTATCACACTGGCCGATTCCCACCAAGGCAGGGTGGCCCGAAAAAGAAAAACTTTCACCATCATTCACTCCATCACTGTCTTGCCAGAAGGGTGCTTTACACTACAGTTTTTAAACTGCAACATTAACACCCCTCCTTCAGAGTTCAGGCACTGTACTTCCCATCTCCAGGACTCAAGTCCGGCCTGCCAGTTTTCCTGAACCCCTTCACAAATGTTACCTTGCTCACACTCCAACAGCACGTCAAGTATTAAAAACCATTCGTCTCCATTCACTCCTATCAAACATGCTCACACACGCCTGCTGGAAGTCCAAGCCCCTCGCACACAAAACCTCCTTTACCCCCTCCCTCCAACCTTTCCTAGGCCGACCCCTACCCCGCCTTCCTTCCACTACAGACTGATACACTCTTGAAGTCATTCTGTTTCGCTCCATTCTCTCTACATGTCCGAACCACCTCAACAACCCTTCCTCAGCCCTCTGGACAACAGTTTTGGTAATCCCGCACCTCCTCCTAACTTCCAAACTACGAATTCTCTGCATTATATTCACACCACACATTGCCCTCAGACATGACATCTCCACTGCCTCCAGCCTTCTCCTCGCTGCAACATTCATCACCCATGCTTCACACCCATATAAGAGTGTTGGTAAAACTATACTCTCATACATTCCCCTCTTTGCCTCCAAGGACAAAGTTCTTTGTCTCCACAGACTCCTAAGTGCTCCCCTCATCAATTCTATGATTCACCTCATCCTTCATAGACCCATCCGCTGACACGTCCACTCCCAAATATCTGAATACATTCACTTCCTCCTTTACTCTCTCCCTCCAATCTGATATCCAATCTTTCATCACCTAATATTTTTGTTATCCTCATAACCTTACTCTTTCCTGTATTCACTTTTAATTTTCTTCTTTTGCACACCCTACCAAATTCATCCACCAATCTCTGCAACTTCTCTTCAGAATCTCCCAAGAGCACAGTGTCATCAGCAAAGAGCAACTGTGACAACTCCCACTTTATGTGTGATTCTTTATCTTTTAACTCCACGCCTCTTGTCAAGACCCTCGCATTTACTTCTCTTACAACCCCATCTATAAATATATTAAACAACCACGGTGACATCACACATCCTTGTCTAAGGCCTACTTTTACTGGGAAATAATTTCCCTCTTTCCTATGTACTCTAACTTGAGCCTCACTATCCTCGTAAAAACTCTTCACTGCTTTCAGTAACCTACCTCCTACACCATACACCTGCAACATCTGCCACATTGCCCCCCTATCCACCCTGTTATGAATTAATCTTAGTCTGCCTGAAATGCCTAGCCATGCTAGGTGTGATAGTGGCCCCCTCTGTAATTAGTATTTTATAACATGTAAACCACACAATATCCTAAAATATGTAAACTCCACATTGTAATCTTTATAGAGAATAAACTTGATTTGATTTGATACGGGGGTCCTACAGTACATCAGTATTCAGGTTTTGAGTCTTATTGATGTTACAGTTGCATTTGTATGTACAGCACTTAACCTTCCTCCAGGATACTGACAAGAGTCAACTAAGACCAGGCTGTCTTTTTCTGCAGGGAAACTGGATGCAAGAATGCTTACTGTACCTACATATCTATTTACTGCAGGGTGAATAAAGGCAGGAGGTACATGGATACTAATTCCTAGATACCTACCATACCACGGACGGGGATAGAACCCGCGATCAGAGAGTCTCAAAACTCCAGACCGTCGCAACGGTCTGGAGTTTTGAGACTGTCTGATCGCGGGTTCTATCCCCGTCCGTGGTATGGTTTGTTTGCAATCATGTCACTACGATTTCGTGAGTCCTAGATACCTGTTAACTGGAAAGTGAACAGGGGCAGCAGGTGTAAGGATACAGTATTCTATAGGTTTTTTGTTTTTTATATATTGTGCCTTTGCCATTTATGCCTGATTTTCTGTTGTCCCATTTATGTCCTGTTGCTGAGATAATTATCAACATTTTTACACCTTATTATAAAGGCTGGGTAAGGAGAACAACTTGTCAGTGATATAAAATGCATAGAATACATAGCAAAGAAACATTTATGGAGGGATTAAGAGAAATTGGTTAGCTAGCCTTGAGTCCTGGAGGTGGGAAGTATAGTGCCTGCACTCTGAAAGAGAGATGGTGATATGTTGCAGTTTTTAAACTGTAGTGTCAGCATGCCTCTGGCAAGACAGCGATGGAGTGAGTGATGATGAAAGTGTTTCTTCGGGTCACCCTGCCTCGGTGGGAAATGACCGATGTGTTATTAAAAAATAAGCTACCCACTGATGCAAAAGATGTTACCTGCTACCTTGACTTTCAACAGTGCTGGAGGCAGTCTCTAGTGACATCAACATGTGGTCAGTCACTGGGACATACCAGAACAACCAAAACTGTGAGTGGCAGATCCTGGCACCTGCAGACAGAATTGTGCTCATCACTTTTCTCAACTTTGATCTTGAAGACTCTTCGCCTTGCATTTACGATTATGTTGAGCTACAGGACTTTTCTGTTATGAGTCAACTCTTAGCATCGTGAGTGGAACATTCTCTCCTTCAGTTTTGTGGATTTCTTTTAAAATGTGTTGAAGGAAATTTATGCTAGACAATCATTGTGTAAGTCATCATATGAGAGGCAAGTAAATTGCTGAGAGCAATGGTCTAGCAACCTCTTCTCCTGTACATTATACATTACTAAATGTAAAGAGGAGAATAACCTTATTTCTTTTTTGGGTCACCCTTCCTTGGTGGGAGACAGCCATTGTGTGTGTGTGAAGAATTAAGTCATGGACACTCTACTGTACTGTACAATAATTACAAACAAAAAATAAAAGATGTAGAGCAACCACAGGTGAAGTTGAATGATAGCTCTAGGCATTTCATGTTGCAATCAACACCTCATCAGGAGCTTGCAATGTTGCAAAAAAAGGAGGTAGCTTGGTTGTTCAAATGAGCAAAGACGCTTCCTATGAACGTATTTGCTTGGAGTTCCTCCTGTTTTCTGCAACATTGCAAGTTCCTGATAATGTGTTGATTGCAACATGAAAGGTCTAGAGCTATCATTCAACTCTCCCTGTGGTTGTTTTGTATAAGTACATACATTTTGTAAGTTTCTGTACTCACCTAATTGTGGTTGCAGGGTTGACTCATAGCTCCTGGTCCCTGTGTGCAACGTAATGTTTCATGAGATGTATTAGTTAAAGCTTATATGCCAGTATATTATTTGACATTTAGGAGTGATCATATACCTATTACTGTACAAATAATAGTAATTAATTAAACAGTTGACATTAATTTATACAGTACAGTATTTCAAAAGACAGGCCATTGGGGACTAAGATTAAGCTTACCTCACTGCTCATACATGAATTATTTATTTTATCATTACACTGGCCGATTCCCACCAAGGCAGGGTGGCACGAAAAAGAAAAACTTTCACCATCATTCACTCCATCACTGTCTTGCCAGAAGGGTGCTTTACACTACAGTTTTTAAACTGCAACATTAACACCCCTCCAGGTTCCAGGCTACATGAATTGGATGTTTAATATCATTTCATGGTGCTTATATATTACACTTGTGTATTCGGGCAGCTACAAGTACTGTGGAAGTGTGTTGCCCCCAGCCTTCGCGTCGTCTGGCAATCAAGTGTTAGTCAAGTTCCACAGTGACGGGTCTGTTGTTCGCCGAGGTTTCTCTCTCCACTACACCAGTCATCCTCAAGGAAATGGTAATGACAGCTTGTTTGTGCTTAAATTGTAAATGATACTGCAAGTTAGCTTATACTGTAGGGGCCCCACTTATACTGCAGGTTATGTTTCAGGCTACTGTAGGGCCCCGCTTACACAGCAGGTTAGGTTCCAGGCACTGTAGGGCCCCGCTTACACAGCAGTTAGGTTCCAGGGTACTGTAGGGGCCCCACTTACACAGCAGGTTAGGTTCCAGGCTACTGTAGGGCCCCGCTTACACAGCAGGTTAGGTTCCAGGCTACTGTAGGGCCCCGCTTACACAGCAGGTTAGGTTCCAGGCTACTGTAGGGCCCCGCTTACACAGCAGGTTAAAGGGTTCCAGGCTACTGAGGGCCCTGCTTACACAGCAGGTTAGGTTCCAGGCTACTGTAGGGCCCCACTTACACAGCAGGTTAGGTTCCAGGCTACTGTAGGGCCCCACTTACACAGCAGGTTAGGTTCCAGGCTACTGTAGGGCCCCACTTACACAGCAGGTTAGGTTCCAGGCTACTGTAGGGCCCTGCTTACACAGCAGGTTAGGTTCCAGGCTACTGTAGGGCCCCACTTACACAGCAGGTTAGGTTCCAGGCTACTGTAGGGCCCCGCTTACACAGCAGGTTAGGTTCCAGGCTACTGTAGGGCCCCGCTTACACAGCAGGTTAGGTTCCAGGCTACTGTAGGGCCCCATTATACAGCAGGTTAGGTTCCAGGCTACTGTAGGGCCCTGCTTACACAGCAGGTTAGGTTCCAGGCTACTGTAGGGCCCCACTTACACAGCAGGTTAGGTTCCAGGCTACTGTAGGGCCCCGCTACACAGCAGGTTAGGTTCCAGCTACTGTAGGGCCCCCTTACACAGCAGGTTAGGTTCCAGGCTACTGTAGGGCCCCGCTTACACAGCAGGTTAGGTTCCAGGCTACTGTAGGGCCCCACTTACACAGCAGGTTAGGTTCCAGGCTACTGTAGGGCCCCGCTTACACAGCAGGTTAGGTTCCAGGCTACTGTAGGGCCCCACTTACACAGCAGGTTAGGTTCCAGGCTACTGTAGGGCCCCGCTTACACAGCAGGTTAGGTTCCAGGCTACTGTAGGGCCCCACTTACACAGCAGGTTAGGTTCCAGGCTACTGTAGGGCCCCACTTACACAGCAGGGCTAAAAAATGCATATTCAGTACACAAACTGCTTACCTTAAAATATTTTCATCCTTAGCTTATAGTGAGTGGTGAATATATATTTATTGTAGGAAGACTGAATAAGTGAAGAATGGATATACGTAATTGAAAACTGCTGCATCAGCAAGATGCTGTAAAGTGAAGCATTGTAAAGTAAGGCTCCCTGTACAGTACAGTGGACCCCCTGGTTAACGATATTTTTTCACTCCAGAAGTATGTTCAGGTGCCAGTACTGACTGAATTTGTTCCCATAAGAAATATTGTGAAGTAGATTAGTCCATTTCAGACCCCCAAACATACACGTACAAACGCACTTACGTAAATACACTTACATAATTGGTCACATTCGGAGGTAATCGTTATGCGGGGGTCCACTGTATTTCGAAAATTTAGTTGAAAATTAAATCAGATTCCAAAACCATCTTACCAGTAGGAGTGAAATTTTATATTTAAGATAGAATAATAGCACTGATATACAGTCGTACCTCGGAATACGAACAGCTCAAAACTCGAACAGTTATGTAAGTGTATTTATGTAATTGTTTTTGTAAGTGTATTTTTGGGGGTCTGAAATGGATTAATCTAATTTACATTATTCCTTATGGGAACAAATTCGTTCGGTATCGGTACTCAGACAGCCTTCTGGAACGAGTTAAGTTTGTGTCCCGAGGTACCACTGTATTTAACTCCATGGGGAAGTGGAGAAGACTCCTTTCTCCGTAAGCTGTGCATGTCATAAGAGGTGACTGAAATGCCGGGAGCAAGGGGCTAGTAACCCCTTCTCCTGTATAAATTACTAAATGTGTAAAGAAGAAAAAAATTTAATTTCTTTTTTGGGTCACCTTCCTTCGGTGGGAGACGGCTGGTGTGTTAAAATAAAAATACAGTACAGTACTTAAGAAATTTAAAGTTAAATTGGTCAGAGATTTTGAATATGAACGTAATGGTTAATGATGTCGTTGTGATAACATTATTCACATGTACATTCTTAAGCCAATGTCTACTTGTATATTATCTTAATTAGGTCTGACAATAATGCTTAACGGGAGCAAAAGACTTGTGACCCTTTCTGTATAAATTACTAAATTTAAAAAGAAAAACTTTTGTTTTTCTTTTTGAGTCACCCTGCCTGGGTGGGATACAGCCAGTTTGTTGGAAAAAAAAATGCTTAAATACAAATTTTTAACAGGTACATCAAACATCACATCAGTGACTGTATATCCTCCAACCTCCAGTACGTCAGACGTTGTAACCACTCAAGAGGAGACAAATCATTCATTTGGCACCAGTCCAGATCTGTGCAGCAGACAACAATGCAAGTGTCACTACTTTGGGTCCCATCACATTAGTCCTAAAATTTTCATTTGCTTAAAAACTTCATCATCACTAACTGTCTATATGACTGTAATACTTGGTGAAGGCTTTTCTATATCCTTACACATCTGCCCTTCCCACTTGCAACCCACCTTATTTACTGTGGTCTTTTCATTTAAGAATTTATCTTTGCCTTGGAAATTAGGATATGACCTATTTGGATAACTTTTGAACTGTTCTCTGTGTTTTATAGATCGTCAGTTGTATTTACTTTCTTTTTTGTATACTTATTAGGTATTTAAAGTTTATTTGTTACATGTAGATCTGTTAATCCTAGGTAGTAGGTTGGTAGACAGCAACCGCCCAGGGAGGTGCTACCATCCTGCCAAGTGAGTGTAAAACGAAAGCCTGTAATTGTTTTACATGATGGTAGGATTGCTGGTGTCTTTTTATTCTGTCTCATAAACATGCAAGATTTCAGGTACATCTTGCTAATTCTATTTACACTTAGGTCTCACTTCACATACATGTACAAGCATATATATACACACCCCTCTGGGTTTTCTTCTATTTTCTTTCTAGTTCTTGTTCTTGTTTATTTCCTCTTAACTCCATGGGGAAGTGGAACAGAGTTCTTCCTCCGTAAGCCATGCGTGTTGTAAGAGGCAACTAAAATGCCGGGAGCAAGGGGCTAGTAACCCCTTCTCCTGTATATATTACTAAATGTAAAAGGACAAACTTTCGTTTTTCCTTTTGGGCCACCCCGCCTCGGTGGGATACGGCCGGTGCGTTGAAAGAAAGAAAAGAAAGATCTGTTAATGGCTACAAAGATCACTGCTCCCAAGGTCTGGTCTTAGACCAGGTCTCATCTCCAAGATAAACAGGTTATATACCTGCAGCAAAATAGATTTTGTAACTATTACATATTATTGACCTGTTTTTAGAGATCTTAAGCCATTATGCATATACTGTTCCTTAAGTAAATTTAACATATGTATCTCTTTGTATTTTAACAAATAGTTTAGATTCCTACTTACCCAAAAGTTCTCCTTGTCCACTGTCCCAAAAGTCGTCCTTGTAATGTGTGACCTTTCCTGACCTCTGGCAGTGTTGGAGGACACCTCTGGTGATATCAGCATATGGCCAGGTGAACTGCATAGCACCAGTCTAAACTGCACATGGGTGATCCTGGTGCCAGAAGACAGCATCGTGACCATCTTTTGGTCTGAGGTTGACCTGGTCAGTTCGTTGTCTTGTGATTATAATTATGTTCAACTCAACGACTTTTCTACCTCGGGTCATCTCTTGGCATCGTAAGTTATATCTGCCTTCTCCTGTTTATGGAGTCATTCTCCTAAGACATGCTAACTGAAATTATTCTCAACATTACATTCTTTGTGGCTTAACGCTAAACAAAGAATGTGTCATTCTTCATGAAATAATGAAGCCTGCGTATATGAAATGAAAGTTTGTAAAAACTTTAAGCCACTGTTAAGCAACAATTGCACACAAAACCCCCTTTTGTTTTGACTATTCTGACCAGCGTCACAAAAATAAAACCAAACTGACGTGTGGGAGACATCATAAAGGATCAAATTCTCTCGCAAACACGTCACTGTTTACTCTTTCGCCCCTTACAACTAGCTTCAACTGAGATCACCTTCCAGTTTTTTCTTCAGTTGTGTGCATTGTCTGATATTTAAAACACAGCAGGTGACTGATTTGTTAAAGATAAAGATAGTGAGGTAATATTATACTTTTTTATTATTATTGTATTTAGGGGAAAATGCAAAATGCGTAAAAGGTGTATACAACACCTGAAAAATGGGAGGGGTAGAGTGTAATTAGGTTTGATTAGGGTAAGGGAAGATACCTCACATCATTCCCTTTACCCCTCAAAGGGAATAATAATGATACAGCATTTAATAATATATATTTATTTCTTAAGGGAGCAAGGGGCTAGTAATCCCTTCTCCTGTATAAAGTACTACACATTGAGAGAAAATCTTTCGTTTTTCTTTGTAGGTCACCCTGCCTTGGCGGGAGACAACCAGGGCTTTGAAAAAAAAAATTATTTCTTAAAACAGTTCATCTCAATAATCTATTTATATGTATAGTAATTTGACCATTGAGCATCACTGTACAAGTTAATCTACATGGTTTAAAAAATGTAGCATAAGTGTCCCTTGTTTTACACCATGGCAGTTATACTAAGCTATGCTAAGCCATGATGACTTTCAAAGTTTATTCTCTATAAGGATTACAATGCTGAGTTTACAGAATTTGGCTATTGTGTGATTTACATGTAGTAAAATAATAATTACAGAGTGTACCACTAGAACACCTAGCATGGCTAGGCATTTCGGGCAGACTTAAATTAAATCTTAAGTTTAAAATATTACAAAATTATGAGGTAAGTTGGTATTATGGCTAAGTGACTAAATACTTTATGTTGCATATTAAGAATCTTCAGTATGCTTTACAAACCATTGTGATCTGTATGAATGTACATCATATATGCAGACTTACTGATAGAAATCAGACATAGCTTAGTAGTGTAGAAGAAAAAGCGACAGCGAAATATATCATACACATGGGAGCGTTAATTTACTTATTAAGCCACTGATTTGTAAATGGCTGGTGAAATTATAAATCTCTCACCAGGCTATTGTGAGATGACCATTAAACAATGTTTCGTCCAACTTGGGACATTTACAAAGTCACACTGACTTTGTTAAATGGTTCAAGTTCGGGTCCGAAATTGTCATAGCTTCCTCTCCAGTGGCGGTATTTTGTTGTGATCGCATAATAATGAATTCTCATTCAATTAATTAGCGTAAAAGACGGAAATTATACGTAATGGTCTCAGTGATATAAATATGGTCATCTTACTTCATTATATATATCATTGGGCAGCTACAGATACTGGGGCATGAAACGACCGCAGCTTCACTGACTGAAAACAAGTGGCGATCATGTTCTTATTGATGAAACTAGCATCGAACCAAGGCTACTCTCTCATTACATACTAATGGTAATAGGAATGAGTTAATTAGTAATATGGAGTGGGAAATGGTAATGGAAGCAAGTGCTTTGTAATCTAAGAAAGGTGAGAGCTACAGTTGGGGGCCACTAAACTGCGATGTCTGAAGCTTTGCAAAAACTGCAATTAATTGAATGGATAGTGAATGTTTTTCCACTTTTTTTTTCTGGGGGGGGGTTGTGCCACCCCTAGTATTAGGAATGCTGCACAAAGGTAAATATTCTTCTAGAGAGTAGCAAGACATTGTCCTCTATTTAAAATTAAAATATGCCAGGATAAACATGTACCAGACAGGTTGCTTCTTGTCTTACAATGGGACACGTTCCGACAAACCTACTGTGAGTTGAAACTATTGTAAGTCAAATACAAATATGATACACTAAATAAATAACTACTGTCGCTGAATAAGTAAATAAACAGATAATTACTGTAACTAAACACCAGCATTGAAAAATAACTAAATGAATACACGTTACGGACTTGCCACCGTGATGCTGGTAATTATCTCAAGTTTCATCTCCAAAGTAATTTTTTTTGCACCATCATAGAGTCGAAATATAAGTTGAACCATCGTAAGTCGAAGAGCACTTGCATACTCTTTGACAAATTTTGTGAATCCCCTCAAGTCTTGGGCTTCCTGCTCTTATCTGGGTTACTAGAGATAGTGACTGTTTTATATAAGAGTAAGAATCACATAAGAATACTAAAATGCTGACTAACAATTATAGGGTATATATTTATATGACCCACATAGGAATAAAGCTTGACACGAGTATATATTGAACACCTGGGTGTTTTTTTTATTCATTTTACTCTGTTGAGTACAGATATTTGCCAAAAAGTATTTTCAATTAAGTGTACAGTAGAGCACAGTAAGTTTGGAATTAGATTCCCTGGATGATTTAAAATTTTGTTTTAGGTGCTCAGAAAAATTATACGTATCACTCAGCAGTATTATTGTGTTCCAGCTTAGTGAATGGGTTTGCCACCTAACAGCAGCTTGGGTAGGCTAAGGGGGAGATCCAAGAGAGGGCTAGGCTTGGGCAGGCATACCCATAGTTTTTTCTTAGCCACAACACTGCATGCTGCCCCTTGGCACTCAGTCTGTTACCCCTAGGGGTGTTCAAAGTTCAATTTTTTTCTTTTAGTCATCCCTCAGTTTCCTATGTAAAATTACTGCAAAGTTAAAACCACATACAGATGTTCCTTGTTTGACGATGGTTCAGTTTACGATATTTCAACTTTACAATGGTGCGATAGCGATGTATCGTACAGTGTTATTTTCTGTGTTTAACCACATTTTCCAAAGTCCATTATGTCTGCCTGTACAACATATCACATGTACTGTACCTGTAAAACTTTTTTGTACTACAGTGTATATACAGTACTGTACATTTATTGACAGGTTAAATTTGTATTCATTTATTTACTTTTCAGTACTGGTATTTAGTTACAGTAATTATCTGTTTATTTACTTATTTAGTAACTAGTTATTTATAAGGCAAGGAGTATCTGTATTTAATTCTCACAAGTTTTCTCTCCTCCAAAACTGAAGAATAGCAGGAGAATTATTTGCATTTACTGTAGATCTTTAAAGATACTCCTAAAACAATATTTTATTAATTCAATCTAGATACGTTATTAATCTCCTTTACTCTGAACTTTCATCAGCCACATCTGCTGCCATGAGTACACATTTGCCGACACCCCAGCTAAATTCCGTCACCACCGCTACCACTGCAACTGTGATGTATTTTACTGAACCTCCTGTCACCATTTCTTCTTGCAGTGGAACACATGGTTTGTAGTGGTGCTTTACTGCCCATTAAAGTATTATTTCTGAAATATAAGTTGGACGAGTACTTCTCAGTCCCCAAGCATTGTGTGACCCCTATAGGTTTAACACTTTCCCGTGAATATAATAGTAAAATAGTCCATGTGGGATACAGCCAATATATTAAGAAAATAGTTATAATAATAATAGTAATAATGATGCTTAGTTATCTCAAAACTATTCCTTGTTATGTGTGACCTCCTGATCTCTGGCAGTGTTGGAGGGAGCCCCGGGCAGCATCACCATGTGGGCTGTCAATGGGTCATACCTGAACAACCAGCATTGTGTGTGGTACATCCTGGCACCCCAAGACAATATTGTCCTCATAACATTTCACACCTTTGAGCTGGAGAACGAAAATTGCTCCTATGATTACGTTCAATTACACGACTTTTCTTCCTCTGGTGAACTCTTAGGATCGTAAGTTGTGCACGGTTCCTCCTTCAGTTTAAAAGAGTAATGAGTATCACTTTATTGTAAAAAGGCAAATGATTACTAGCATCTTGAGAGGGAAATTAATATATGTGTATTCACTCCTGGACACCCTTACTGAAGATATTAGTTTTCTCACCATGTCTTAAAGACATGGTGAGAAAACTAATTAATATTTGGATTACTTTAAATCCGAACAGTAATCAAATGTTTCATCATATTTCATGAAGTGAAAAGCTTAAAGCTTCTGCATTAGTATACTGTTCTGCAGTACTGTGTGCATGGAGTCAGATTGTGCAAAAATGTTGAAAAAAAATTTTAGGCAGTCTTCAGAGGCTTTTAATCCAATTAACTTGAGCTACTCTTCCCTTCCTCAGATCAAGTCTGATTGTCCCCATTTTAACTCCCTATATAGGTATAGCACTTTCCTCTGAATATAAAAATAATTATCGAAGATTTCTAACAAATACAATACTGTACCAGTATGACATTTTGCTCCTCTGTATATTTATCCATCTGCATTTTTGTCTTTCCATTTCTGTTCATTTTTTTTTTTTTTTTTTTTTTCAACAAGTCGGTCGTCTCCCACCGAGGCAGGGTGACCCAAAAAAGAAAGAAAATCCCCAAAAAAGAAAATACTTTCATCATCATTCAACACTTTCACCACACTCACACATTATCACTGCTTTTGCAGAGGTGCTCAGAATGCAACAGTTTAGAAGCATATACGTATAAAGATACACAACATATTTCTGTTCATATCCACTCAATAATCCTTCCAGATTAATGATATAATGTATATATATTTATTACTTGGGGCAGCTACATGTTCTGTGGATGGACGTTGCCACAGGCCTTCACATCGTCTGGCAGCCAAGTGGTAATCACATTCCACAGTGATGAGACAGTCACCATGCGAGGCTTCTCTCTCTTCTACAGCTTTGCTCCAAGTAAAGACAGTAACAATTTCCTTGCTTGTTTTTTCATTACAAAAATTTTATACAAAATTTTGCAAAAGAACAAACTTACTTAAAAGAAGAATAAGAATGTTGTTACTAAGTAGTATTTGTTCTTTGAGATTAGAAGTGTTCATTATAGGATGGGTATGTGCCCCATACCCATCCTGTGAGTGGCAATTCAATTATAGAGACATATAAAGGTTCAGGGACTGGGCCTCACACCCATGTAATTTGTAAGGTTAATTACATGCTTCATACCCATCCTGTTGGTGGTAGGCAAAAGATTACACAGGTATATACAGGGTTCATGGCACCACCTTACACACAGTGTATGTTGGTAGTTACACATTAATTGTCCAGAGAGGTACTAACATCCTGATGTACAAGTGTGAAATAATAGCCTGTTTAACATAATAGTTGATTAGTAGACAGCAGTCCCTCAGGAAGGCACTACCATCCTGTCATATAAGGGAAGGCTGTTTAATTTTTTGCCCTATGTCAGAATTGCTGGACTTACTGTCTCATGAACACAAAATGACAGGTAAATCTTAAAAAGTTTACATCTTTCAGTATACACTTCACTTTCTTGTTGTTTCTTGATACTACACTACAAGGAAACATATGGTGATGCCAACTTTCACCTCTATTACAAAACACCTTCAGAAAGGAAGGCTTAGAGCACAATTTGTTCTGTGGTTTACACAAAAGATAATGAAATTGTGGTTCATGTGCAAGTTGTGAATTTATGACGGAGACTACAGAAAGACATTGCATTTCGAGTCCTGGAGGTGGGAATTACAGCGCCTGTACTCTTAAAGAGGGGTGAGAATGTTGCATTTCAGAGGGTCATCTGAACTGTGATGTCAACACGCTTCTGACAATACATCAGTTGAGTGAATGATGGGGAATGTGTCTGTGCTTTTTTTTTTTTTTTGTCAACCTATCTTGATGGGATATGGCAAGTGTGTTAAATAATTTAAAGATAACAACAACCAGTGGGTCATTTATATCTCTGCTCAGTCACTAAGTGATCTCTTCAAACTCTTTGCAGGTAACTCAAGTACAAATGTTACCTCGACAACTCCGAACTGGTTTTTGCCATCCACATTGCTGTCATGCAATGTGATACAAGGTATAGTACCTTATTATTATTATTATAATAAAGAATCGCTGAACCTACAAGGGTCATACAGCACAGCAGGGCAGGGGTATTGGGTAGCAAGAGGGAGAGGTATTATCATTAGGTCATGGAGTGCAGCAGGGCAGTGGATAGTGCAGGGGTAGAAGGTGACAAGAGATTTGAGAAAGAAAGGGCTGTGAGGAGTGCTAGAGGCATCATCAGAGTTTGTGCAGCATATCAGTTGCTGTCAAAAAGTCAACAAGAGTGTCTGGGCTAAAGGAGGGTCCATCAGCAAGGAGTGTAGTACCTTAGTAGTATCATATTCGCAGAGTACTGAACCTGTATGGAGTCATTCAGCATTGCTTTAATCTCAATCGTTCTGCTGCACGACCTTATGTCTCAGCAGTGCCTAAATTAGGAAGAGTTTACTAACCCATATCATGGATTAGCACCACCATTCTTGGTTGATTAATGTCTTCATCTTTCAAGAAAAGCACTTTGATGTTGATGAAATGTTCTTCATTTAGGGAATTGGAGCTGCCTTCCCTTCCTCAGATCAAACCTAATTATTTCCCATTCCACAGGCACTGCAAAATCCCTACATTTGTAGTGCTTCCCCATGAATATTATAGTACTACTAGTAATAATAATTAAGAATTTTTTGTTTTACCCGTTCTAACCTTTCTCATAATGTGGTGGTTTTGTAATTCTGTATACTGTATTGTTTGTGGTAACCAAGCATGATCCATAGAAAGGGAGAGCTCAGATTCCTTGGATAAAGAGATAATTCTCTATGACATCTATGTGACTTTTTCCTGACAGAGGTGTGGGCCTCAAGGGGTAGCATCAGTGTGGGCTCTGCCAGTGAACATTACCAGAGTCACCAGGACTGTGAATGGCGACTTATTACCACTCCTGGCATGGTCATTCGCATTGCTTGGCACAACTTTGACCTCGAAAATTCTATGCTTTGTGATTACGACTACCTTGAGGTCCTAGATTACTCCGAAGTCAGCACAAAGTTTATAGGGTATGATATATTTCTTGCACAAAGTTTATAGTGTGATAGATTCTTGCACAGTGTGAATAGTAAACTTTCATTATAATGGATTTCAGAAATATGAAACAAGATCCACTGGGTCAATTGACCCTAGAAACAACGGACAGAGTTCATTGCCTAAAGAATTGTCAATTATTGTTATTATCACAGAAACAGTTTTTACTTTATCCACCACAACTGCTTACTAGCCACATGTTCTCCTATGTTAGTGTATCATATTAAGGCTTTGCTTAATTCACTTATAGAAAAAATAAAAGATAATACACAGAAAATTTAGGTTTGGTTTACCCAGAAATTAGCTACTTATTTTTTCCCATATGTAGTATCTGTCTTATGTGGCAACAAATAATTATCAACTAACTCATAATCTGTTGAGGAAATTTTAACCAAACTCATCATTGGGTGGACCATTGTGAATGAATCAAAACATCATCTTGAGTTTCCTCTCCAAATTGTGGGTTGTAAATTTTCTTAGTAACAGTATTGTGACTTAATTTTATTCTTCCCCATGATAAATAAGTTTGTCAACAGGAAGTACTGCGGTGGTAGCCTGCCGCCTCCCCTTATCACTGCATCTAATGTGGCAGTTATCAGGTTCCATAGTGATGGTTCACGCTCAGGTCATGGCTTCACCATTCTTTATGACAGCATTCCCAGTGGATATTAAAATATACACCATCAAGGGTAAGTTTTTTTTTCACTTTTCACTTCAAAAACATTGGTACTTTACTCTTTAATTATTTAATTTTTTTGTACAGTACTGTGGATCATTATTGCTGTGTCTGTAGTTGTCAGTGGACTCTCCCCTGCATGTATTTTTCATACTGTGTATTGCTAGTCCTAGGTAGTAGGTTGGTAGACAGCAACCACCCAGGGAGGTACTACCGTCCTGCCAAGTGAGTGTAAAACAAAAGCCTGTAATTGTTTTACGTGATGGTAGGATTGCTGGTGTCTTTTTTCCGTCTCATAAACATGCAAGATTTCAGGTAGGTCTTGCTACTTGTACTTACATTAAGTTCACACTACACATGCATGTACAAACATATATTACAGACCCTTCTGGGTTTTCTTACCAGTTCTTGTTCTTGTTTATTTCCACTCATCTCCATGGGGAAGTAGAACAGAATTCTTCATCCATAAGCCATGTGTGTCGTAAGGGTAGACTAAAATGCCGGGAGCAAAGGGCTAGTAACCCCTTCTCCTGTATATATTGCTAAATGTAAAAGGAGAAACATTCGTTTTTCTTTTTGGGCCACCCCGCCTTGGTGTGACACAGCTGGTGCATTGAAAGAAAGATTATTGCTACCATATATACAATACCCCAAGAGAAGTTTTGCTTCATATTTACACTACATCTGTGTAGTATTTTCAAAATGCTTCATGTGCTGTGACAAATACATCACACTCCTGTTGTGCTTATCAGTGATTGTTTTATAATTTGGGGCTCTGTAACACCACACTAGTTATGTGCTAGTCAGGCCCTTCTCACTCATGTTTCTTCATCTTATTTTTGTTAAGCCTTGATAACACCACTTGGCAGTGTGTTCTGTTCATCTGCAACTCGGTTGTTAAACCAGTACTTTGGTCAGTATCTAATAATAGTTTATCTTTTCTCAGTGCCATGAACTCATAGCTTCAACTGACCTGTCTTGAATTTAGAAACAATTTTAATTTGTGTATGTATGGATAGCACATTTGTTACTAGACTATGTACTCGCATTCTGCACCACATTAATTGTATCGCAATCTATGCCTGTTGGTCAGTCATTGTATAGTCTACAGACTCCTTTGAGTAGCTGACTACAGGCTATAGTTAATTTGATTTTACTTCTATCCCCCTAGTTCTCCGTATCACAACTGCATTGCTACCGTATCTTAACCAAAACAACAATTGATTTTTTAGTTTGTCTGGGTCCCTGGTTCAATTCGACTACAGGGCAAATGAAAGGCGGAATCACTGCTGCGCTGTGGTAGCAGTGCTGATCACCAATTCCTATCAGGTGTTCCATTTCTGGACTATTTTGCTGCAATAGCTATACCCACTTCGCCTCCGTTGTCAACTTGCTCGGTAACAAACTTCATTCTATTAAACGAGCATAGGTTACTGGCCGTCTTCTTGTCATCAGTGCCGAGGTTGGGAGACCACTCTCTCCCGCCTTTGCATTGGTCACACTCGTCTTACTCATGGGTATCTCATGGAGAGGCACCCTGTTCTCTCTTGTGAGCAGTGTCAAGTTCCAGTATCGATTAGCCACATTCTGTTAGACTGCCCTCTCTATCAACGAGCACGCAGAATTTACCTCCAACGTCGTCTTCGTTCTACTACTCTCTCTTTACCTTCCCTTCTTGCAGATGGACCCTCCTTTAATCCTGACTCTCTCATTGACTTCTTGACAACGACTGATTTACTCCACAAACTCTGATACTTTTCGCACTCCCCTCAACCCTTTCTAGTTCAGTCTCTTGCTGCCCTTTACCCTTTCACCATCCACTACCCCACTGTCATCCGTAACCTATTACTCATCCATCTCCCTTTTGCCACCTGATGCCCTCGCTTCCTTCCTGCCCTGCAGCGCTGTATAGTCCTTGTGGCTTAGCGCTTCTTTTTGATATAATAATAATAATGCCTCTAGCCACTCTTCACATTCACTCCCTCTTAGCCTTGTGGGCCCTATCATACCTACTCTTAAAACTACATATGAAGCCTGCCTGTTCCACTTCCTCACCAAGATCATTCCACTCTGAGACTTAAGAAATACTTCCTAACATCCCTGTGACTAACTTCCAGCAGTGTCTGAGTTCCCATTTCTTGCATCTCAAACAGCCTATCAGTTTCCCTCGAGTATTTTATATATTATGTCGTCCCCCTGGTACTTCTGTCCTCGAACGTCATTAGGTCCAACTCCTCATAGCTCATACCCCTTACCTCAGGAACAAGCCTTGTTGCATACTTCTGCACTTTCTCTAATTTCTTATCATGTTTTTCAGGCTACAGAGGTTCTTCAGGTGATGTGAGCCTCTGGCATTATACTGGGCACCATGCTCATCCTGTCTCTCTTAAATGTAGGAACTATATTTGCTGTCTTCCAGATCTCTGTTAACTGTCCAATATCCATTATTATAGATCATAGCTAGTGGTTTAGATAATGCTTCTACACCCTCGTGCAGAAGCCATGGTGACATGTCAGGCCCCATTGCCTTTGATGTATCCAGGTCCATCAAAAATTTCTTTTACCTCTTCCCATTGTGTGCATGGCTTCCAGTACCCCATTCCTTAAGTCTTTCTGGTATTGCTCCAGTTTCTATTGAGAAGACTTCTTCATATCATTTTATCAACACTTCACAAACTTCCTTGTGTGTGTTTACAACAAACATAAGGATAAGAAATGAAAGTCTGCCCTGAACAGATTTATTTTCCGTTACTATTCAGAGTTTCTAAAGCTTTTACATTTTGGAACTAAGGCCTTTAGTTAATTATTTTATTATTGTTTAACTGCAATTATAGACATATAAATCAGTATTTTTATAATCAAATCAGAATTCACAGATAAAGTCTAGCTAAAACTAAGATATTGAGAAATAGAATAAGTATTTATACAAACTTTGTAACTCGAGTGTTACAAAGTGTGAAGGTCTGGACATTACAGTGCGTGCGTCTGGACATGACAAAATTCTATGTACGTCTTTCACATAAAACACTTACACTATGTAAACTTTATGGCCTGAACCATGACCAGTCGTACAAGATACTAGAGATCCTTTACGCTAATTGGTATTTTTATTGGTTGGCGTAATGCTCGATAATTATTGGTCAACGCCATGTCGTTTACACTTACATGAATCTAAATGCTAATTGGTTATGCTACCCGTTGGGCGTTTACGTCATTATCATAACACTAGATGCTGATTGGTTAGCTTTTTCTTGCCCAATTGTTAGTTTACATCATTTATTTATCGGGTTTAAAGCCTATGGATTGGTGATTAAGATTGCATGTAACCAGTCAAGGAAACTTTGATCCCTAAAACAGGGAATGAAGTAAACACTCAGAATACCATAAGAAATATACACCTCTCAGGTGTATATCCTTCCATTTTCAAGCTCTGCTTAATGCCTGGCTAAGTAGATGAAAAACAGTTACAACCAATCAGCAACTAGAAAGCATATATCCAACTCCAGACAGTCTAAAGGCTCAGAGCTATCACACATTCATCTGCATTATAAGCTGTTACCTACACCAAAAAAAAAAAAAGTTATCTGTATATTGGAGAAGAGCATATTTACATGAATGTTGTCAAACTGGTATATACACACACATCCTTCAAGGCTCCACATTACTCCTCGAGGCCTGCACCACTTATGCCATCTCTGGGTGAAATGGTCTTATTTACACTAGGTTTAGCTTTAGTGGGTTAAGCATTTTAAATTCAATGCCATATTTTATAAATTCTTTCATTTTCCTCTTTGCTTTTCAGGTCACCCTGCCTCGTTAGGATATGGCTGGTGTCAAAAAATTAAAGATAGAAAAGTTTGTTTAAATTCTTTCTTTTCAAACATTGAAATTTTAGCTATATTAAGGAATAAAGTATTGTATCCTTGACATCAGTGTCTAAGTGGATTGCAGCCTCAGTGATTATCATGTCTAGTTGCTAGCATTTAAACTCTTGTCTGATTTGGACAAGTTTCATTTTTTCAAGTCTACATAATGTACACCTTCAGGTGCGAGCTTCGTAAAAAGTCTAAAATATGTATATAACTAATAAAAGAGCAGATTATGTAGAAAGAATGAAATATTGTTAATGTATCTCATTGCACTAAGAAATTATTGGTAATTTATTCTCGAGGAAAAAATTGAACTAGAGCCCATAGCCTTGATATAGGACATGTGATGAAACTTGAAATCTGTTGTCAAGATTTTTAATGAAAAATTCTCTGAATGTGAAGCTAAGATACCTTGGTGTAGCATGAAGATAAAAAAAGGAGCTTTGGTGTGTATTATACCAGGACAGCCATATGTCGCTAAAAACAATACATTAGTGTACAACAAGAACAATTATTTTTCGTAAGTGTGACAACGAAGTCTTAGCAGTACTTTCCTTGTGCCATCCTTTACTCTTGATATAAAACTTTCTGAGAAAGTTCTTAAGAGAAAAAATAAATAAACAGATGAGAAATATACAAGTATTCATTTTCGTCTAGTACATCCTATCCACATTTAGTCTAAGTTGTGTGCATATGTATTAATCCCTTTGCCCAATATATTACAAGAAACCATATATACTTCAGACTCTTTGCACTGCCTGAGACGTCAAAAATCCCATTTATATTTCCAGTAAAAAGTTCATGATGACAGTCTGCTAATTACAAATGATGAAATATTACACTGAAACATTTTTTTTTTTTATACAATTCTTTAAAATCTTTCCTTCCATACAACTCAAAATACCATCAAGAAAGGCACATGGCATACTTGGACATAATATAAAAACGGAACGTAATAAACAAAATTTATTTAGGAAAATTAATAACTGTTTACAAACTTCAGAGTGCCTTCACAAACCAAGAACAAATTCATTTAAATATTTTGAAAACTAGCTTTGCAGCCAAACTAGGAAGAGCTCAAGTTATACAATAGCAATGAGTTTTCATAATAATTAATGTCTTCATAAAGTAATATTTTTTTGCAATACTATCACTATACCACAGTTAAATGTGGTATAGGTAGTTCTAGTAAAACAATAATTGTCTTTGAAGTATGTGTATCAGCAAATAAAATGAGAATATTGCTAATTTTCTCCTTCCCAGTATTTTATATTCATAAGATATAAATGGTACTCGAGTCCTGGAGGTGGGAAGTACAGTGCTGGCACTCTGAAGGACGGGTGGGGATGTCTGCAGTTTGGAGGGGCTTCTGAACTGTAATATCAGTGCACCTCTGGCAAGACTGTGATGGTGAAAGCATTTCTTTTCTGGGTCACCCTGCCTCAGTGGGAGACAGCCAGTGTGTTAAAAATGGTACTATTGTCATTCTATGCTAGTTTTAATAATATTTAGTCCACATAGTATGCTTTGAACAATACCTGAGCAAATGCACAGTCGTCATTATTATTGGACTGCAAGCCACCCCCCTTCCCTTAAGGAAGGTGCACTGATGTTGGAAGGCCTCTTGATCCAAGGTATTAAACCCATTCTTGGATCAAATCTAATTCATTCCCTTTTCCCAGGCCCTGTATGAGTCTAGCACTTCCTCAATTTTAATTCTCTAGATTACAAATAGGCAGAAATAAATAGAATTTGCTTTATGTACAGACTGCATTAACCTTTCATAATATCACTCGGTGATTATTACTGAGAAATGAAATCCAGATATAAGCATTTTTTATCAATTCTGAAAAATTGAGAGATAAGCAGCTGTGTATACAGATGTAGTTATTTATATACCTATCCTGTACATCTTAAATAGAAAGAGGGGTGTGAGACAATGCCATTTGCTGCAAAAATGCAGTCATAAGAATTTTCCACTTTGGTTTTTGCTTCATTCACTATTACCATAAGCAATAACCAACTACAGACCACACCAGAAAAGAGTGAAATCGGTGATCCTCAGATATGGTGCCAGGGTTAGGGCAAACCTTACGTCTGACGTGCCTTATCTTATTTCAAAAAATAATTCAATCACAAGCTTAATAACCTTAAAAGGAGGTGGCATGATCCTAGAAATTAGAGCTTTACTTCCTCAGCTCAAGCCTAATTACCTCCAACTTTCAAGACACTGTATTACCTTCACAATTTTCTCTATGACTATAATATGCTTAATAATTAATATAGCACTTTATTCCAGGTTAAACTGGGAGTCGTCCTGGCTATATTGGTCGTTCATCGGGGAAAAGGAGGCAAGAGCCTGGATACAACTATCCTCCATCAAGGTCCTCTCAATACCAGGCCAATGTTCTCTAAAGAGAGGCACATGCACAATCACGTACAGTAACATTAAGAAAAAGACTGGGTTCCCACACACCCAGTCAAAGTATATGGAAAACAGTCTCAAATTAGTCCTCTCCTCCCTCATGAGTACTTCAGCATCTTCCTTATGAGTGAAACGTTCTTCTAGCTTATCATTAACTTGGTGAAGTTTGGGGTGGTGGAGGTGTAAGTGGCAAACATGCCATTGGAGGAGGTACAGTTAAGGCTTGGGGTGACTGGTGGAGACATAAGTCCCGCTGGTGGGCTGGGTAGCGATGAGAACGAAGAGTAGCCTTCCTGCTTCACCTTGACACTTGACTGGCTGCTGGTGCTGGGGATGGCTACTGGCTGGCTATGCTGAGGTGGGGGTTGGGAAGGCTGGGGTTGCTGAGGGGGCTTGGGGACTACAGGTGTGGCAGTGGGGTCAGTAGGGCGCCGTTCTGTCTCCTTCAGTGGCTTCTCCTCTAGAAAACAAAAATAAAAAACTTGAGTATTTGTACAAATACCATTATTAATTTTCTTCCTTCAAGAGGGTGCTTTAATGTTGGTAGAGGGCACTTAATCTCAGGAATAAATGCTATTCTTGACTTCGAGAGCAGTGCCTTGATGCTGGTTTTTAACATGTTGTGTATTGTCCCTAATTACAATAAGAGGAAGCTTATTACATGCGTGCCACATGAGGCAACTAAAATGTTGGGAACAAGGAGCTATTAACTCTTTTTCCTGTATTAATGGCCATCTCCCACCCAGGCAGGGCGACACAAAGAAAATACATTCGCTCAATCACCATCTTTCCAGAGGTGTGCTGACATCACAATCGAATTAGCCCTCCAACCGCAACATCCTCACCCCTCCAGAGTATAGACACTGCCCTTCCCACCTCCAGTACTCTGAGTCCAGCTAACTGGTTACCCTGCTCCCATTCCAGCATGTCTTTAAAACTATTCTTTTTCACTTACATATCAAATAGACCCACACAAGCCCCTAAAACTCGAAGCCCCCCTCCCCCTTGTACCATTTCTGAGGTGACACCTTCCACTCTGGATTTATACTTTCTCTCATCAACCTATTTCTGGCCATCTTTTACATGCCCAAATCATCTCAATCCTCCTCAGCTCTCTGATCACTCCCATACTGCCTTTTAATTTCTACATTCTTAATTGTTTTCTCCATGCCAGTGGTGTCATAAGATGGGGGGGACTGCCCCAGGTGACAAAAACAGTGCTGGAGCAATATAAGAGAAAAATCTTTCATTTCTATATAGCCTATTACAGAGTACAAATTGGCCTATATAGGGAAAATCATTGATTTTGATGATGTGATAGATGATTTAAGGCAAGAAAATGTAAGATCAGATTCACCGAAATGTTATCTGTACTCAAGGTCAAATCAGAACTAGTATTTCTCTGATACTGCAATGTTTTTCTTTATTTTTCAAATTTTTTTGGCATTGTTGAAGATGAATAAATGTAAGATCTGTTGCCTACACTCAATTAATACCACTTTAAGTTTAATCAGGTATACAGTTACATACATAGTAGTATATGTGTAGAGAACCTAGGATAACCCAAAAAAGTCATATAGAGTGAATTATTTCCATTGGGGTCCTTTATTTGAGTTTATTTCCTCAATATTATTACAATTATTTAATCATTAATAAAGTTGAGAAGTAGTCTGCTGTTTAGTTTATGGCCCTGAAATGTTCTCATTGCTAAACATTAGTCACTGGGCATGCAGTAGTGATGTAACGAGAGTTTATTCCCCCTGCCCTTGGATTTCAAGGGGGTGACACCAACCCTAGCAATGCCACTTCTCCATGTACTCATAGAAATTAAAAGATGTGGTGGAAAGGATAAGTTGATGAAGAGGCTGTATAAATCTGAGTAGAAGGGAGAGGGGTGCAAGAAGCCTAAGAGTTTTAGTGGTCTGAGCATCCAGCAGACTTGTGTGGGCATGGATGTGCTGCTGGAATGTCAACAGGGTAACTTTTATGAAGGGATTCAGGAAAACCAGTCAGCTACACTCAAGTCCTGGAAGTGGGAAGGACAGTGCCTTCACTTTGAAGGAGGGGGGTGGAGATGATGCAGTCAGACGGGTAATCTAATTGTGATATCAGCACACTTCTGAAAGACGGCAATCGAGTAAATGCATTTTTTCTTTGGGTTACTGTTCCTCGGTGGGAGACAGCCGACATGTTGAAAAACATAAATTATATTTCATTTATAATAAAACGTTTTCAAGGAAATGTATATATTTTTTGTTTATAACACTCTGGCCTTCTCCAACAAAAGAAATCATTTTGTCACTCGCTGTCTTTTCAGAAGGACACACAGATGATCACAGTTCAAATGAATTCCAAACTGCAATATTCCAACCTCTCCTACAGTACGGCTAGCTGGTTTCCCTTAATTCCTTCATAAATGTTACCACACCCAAATCATAAAAACCACTTGCCTCCACACACTCGCAAGCCTGCTGGATGTCCAGGCCTCCTTTCCTTGGTGTGTGAACAGTATTATGATGAATTATATAATTCACCAGAGTAGTTAAGGAACTTATAGTAAGAATGGGAGGGATGACCTTCCTGCTCTTATACATAGTTCCATCTGGTTTAAAATTTCAAAATATATATGCTGATAATGACAATTTTAGTGTGTATTATGACTTTTTCCTAACCTAAGTTAATCTTCAATGAAAGCTTTATATACCAATGTTTCCACATTTCTAAAAAGTCAATGAACAAAATAATTATATGTCAACTATCAAGGGGAGACTGGAACACTGTCACAATTTTCATCACTCCCTCCCATCCAAAGCCTCGCCAAACAAAATAATAATGAAGCTTCAAGACAAGTTCCCTAGCTTTGCCCTGATTGCCCCTCCTATATAGAAATTCTGGAGTTGACCCTACATAGGAGCTACCCTGATCCATCCTTTAATCAAATCTGATTTTCCACAACCTTTCCCATTCCTCAGGTGCTGTAGGAACCTCACAGATGTAGAAATTTTTAATGAATATAACAAAATATATAGTTTACCACATAAATGTAAGCATTTTAATGTCAATATCACTTGTGTAATTATATTCATAGGAAAGCTCTAAACCCACAGGATCCACACTGGGGAGCTAGAGTTCAGGTTTGATCCAAGGAGGGAAAGGGTAGCTCTAATCACCTGGTTCAAGAGTCATTTACAAGCATAAAGACACCTTCTTGAAGGACTTATGCAATAAACAGCAAAATGTGTTCATACCTGGCCTCAGACAGGACTGCGAAAATAGAACAGTTGACAATGGTTACAGGTGTTACACAGCACTATGATGCTAATGATACAAGTGTTACACCAGTCTGAGAAGCGCTGTATGACCCTTGTGGGTTTAGCATTTAGTTTTGAATGTAATAATATACCAACATGTTACAGGTACAGCCTATTAAATACCACCTAAACATTAACACTACCTGAATCCCTAACATAGAGAATGAAGTAATCTGTGTATATAAATATACAAACCTATCAATGTACATATAGATATAAATTTCTCGGTATAATACACAACTGTAAACCTCTATATGTACAGGAGGGCCCCGCTTCACTTTACGGTGTTTTGCTAATACAGTGGTTTTCAATTATATCTATTCTTCACTTATTCAGACTTCCTACAATAAATTTATTCATCACTCGATATAAGTAATGTGTGCATTGTTTAGACGTAGCTCTATTACTCACTCAATGTATGATAGTGTAAACATGTTATCAAGATTTTATATGCATTTGAACGTCAAAAAAGACTATGATTTACTTTACAGCGATAGCCTGGAACCTAACCTGTTGCATAAGTGGGGACCTCCTGTACACAAATTCAAACCTCTCGATATCTTTCTCTGTCTCTTTCACCTGTGGTTTTCTTATCCTTCTCCTTCTCATCTCCTCCTTCCTCTGTCTTCTTGTTCTTAGGTTTCCTCTTGCGGCTCTGAATGGAGTCTTTCCGCATCTGGAGCGGCCTATTGATACCATGGAGCTTGTAGTAGAGGCCGCATGCATTGCACACTGGCTCACCTGCAGCAGCAACATACATCAGCAGTGTGGCAAGCACACACACAGTAGTCAGGTTATCATATACATGGGGAAACACTTTAAACATATTGCAAGAAATACACACAAACCATGTAACATATAGAAGGGCATTAAGGAACTTTAATAAAGAATACTCCAGAACCTTATACATGACATATAGGCCAATCATCAAGTATGCAGCTCTGGCACTCAGCCCACCTGATAAAGCAAGTGAAGAAGCTAGAAAAGGTCCAAAGGTTTGTGACCAGATTAGTACTAGAACTGAAAATTGATGCACTATGAGGAGAGGCTGAAGGAACTAAACCTGATGACCCTGGCAAAGAGACACGGGAGACTATAGTCACATCTATTAAAAGCCCTACCAAGAAGTGACCCTTTATTTCTCCATAGGTTTCTAGGACTGGAGCCAACACCAAGTGTGGACAGTGTAATAAGTACATTGGAGAACCTACGAACCAAGCTCACCCGCAGCGCTGCATGACCCTACTGGGTTTAGTGCTTGCTTGGTTTTGATTATACTAATAATGTGAACCAGGCTTAGTAAACGTGTGTGTGTACTCACCTAGTTGTCATTGCAGGGGTTGAGTCACAGCTCATGGCCCCCACCTTTTCACTGGCTGCTACTGGGTCACGTCTGCTCCCTGTGTTTTATCATACCTCTTCTTAAAGCTATGTATGGATCCTGCCATCACTTCTCAGTCTATTCCACTTCCTGACAACTCTGACTGAAGAACTACTTCCTAACATCCCTGTGATTCATCTGAGTCTTCAACTTCCAACTGTGATCCCTTGTTGCCATGTCCCATCTCTGGAACATTCTGTCTTTGTCCATCTTGTTGATTTCTCTCAGTATTTTATATGTCGTTATCATATCCCTCCTGTCTTCCAGTGTCGTCAGGTTGGTTTCCCTTAACCTCTCCTCGTGTGTGTGTAACAGGAATGAGCAGGGCAACACATTGTGTTATCCACAGGGGTCATTCACTGAAGGCTACCTCATGAATCAGAGATTCAACTGGTCTTCATCAAATCTGAATTAAGAAAGCATTGGTGCTTAGAGGTTGCTCTTAACACTGTTTCAAATACTACTGAAAAGAAAGTAGGTAGCAATAACATCACCACCCTAACCATATGATCTTCAACCAATTCTTGCTATGCCCACATCACAACCCATCAGGTGACCTCGCTTCCATGAGGCCTAACCTGACCTCAACTCCCTTACATCATTTGTTACCTTTGCTACATACAATGCATTTCATTAATCCTATGTAACATTAAGGTGAACATGGTCCCGAGACCAAAACATTCAACATCAATACATGTTAAGCATTTACACATGTGTCCTTTTCCTTAACTTGTCAGTATCATATACCTACCTGTTACCTAACAATGAATCAGTAGGGTGACTGCAGTACTGCACCATCAGGACCTGGCACATGATGCTCTATTTCTTCTCTGCATTTATCTTACATTATCCTTACCTCATTTTCCACAATTATGTGTATAAAAAGTAACCTGTGTATGACTTTATAGGCTTAATTTTGAGCAAAATGTAGCCCCAATTAAAACAAATCTGTTGGGATTACTTCTGTACATTTCGCTGTGGTGTTGGTGATAATGGTAATGTAATGGTGGCACTGTAGTGGTTATGGTAGTGTAATAGTGATAGTATAATTCTGATGGCAACAGATTTGTGCTGGTAGTGAAATTAGTATAGTGATTGTGGTGTATAAGTGGTTGTGATAGTTCTGTGCTGGTGATGCTAGTGGGAAAATCATCACGTGTGTGTGGCTTGTCCCAGAAATGCATGCCCACACACACTCAGGAGTGCTGCACTAATGAGCTGCTGACACCTAGGCAACTGTGGCTGGCTGTTTTTGCTTGTGTATATGTACTTGGTTTAGAAAAACACATAAGCAAACAATAGGACATATTTATTAGAAAATGTTTCGGTCCTGGGACCTTGATTACTTCCAACACACAGATTGAAAGACAGTACAGTGCTAGTCACGGTATTATGCCGCCCCTCCCCCACACACATACCATGAAAGATTATAATATTTGCACACTTACTGAGGTTTTAATACTTGGTGCAGCATCCTTTACACTTAATCACATCCCTCAGCCGTGTAGGAAGACTCGCACAAATTCTTGAGGGTTTGGGGAGGTATATTATTCCAAGCCTCATGTAGAGCAGCCTCCAGCCACGGGATGGAACCGATATCCTTGCCCATAAACTTGTTTCACTATTGACCAGAGCTTCTCAATAGGGTTTAGGTCTGGGGAATTGCCTGGCCAGTCATTAAAGAACCTCATTTCATAGTCCTTAAGCCACTGTACTACAGATTTGGTGGTATGACACGGTGCACCATCCTGCATAAAAACCGTAACCCCACACTTGTCAAACGCCTCAGGTAAATTGTTACACAATAACTCCAGGTAATTATACTGGTTTTTGGAAAACACAATGAGTTTACCAACACACTGAGTACTGAAACACCCCCAAACCATGAGCAAGTCTGGGTGTTTGGTGGTCCCACAGGTGTTGCATGGGTCTAGCAGGTCACTACCTCTGGGTCGTACACGTCCCCAACAGTTACAGGTGACGGTGAAGGTTGCTTCATCACTCCAAAGTACTTCAGACCACTGTTGAGGATTTCAGTGAAGATATTTCTTTGCATAATCCAGCCTACGTTTCTTCTGTGGCTTGGAGAGGATCGGTTTCTTAACCTGGCAGTGACTACTGTAGCCCAGTTCTGACACACATCTGTTAACAGTTCTTACAGACACCTCTGAGAGAAGATGTGGGTTTTTCTTTAAATTCTCTAGCAGTTATCTTAGGTGTACTCTCTGCTTCTTTAACCCAGTTAAGGTATGAACAGATGTCTTCTTCGAGGTTTGGCAGACAGTAACTCAACATCCTCCACCAGCCTTGAAACCTTGCACCTTGTTCCTCATTGAATGGTCACATTCTCCACTATTTCTTTCATCTGGTGCCCACCTTTGTGAAGCCCTATGATTTGAGCTACAGTTTCAGGTGTCAAAGACTTCCTTTTACTCATAATCAAACATGTATAGCCCCAGAACCAAAGTGAACACCGGACAAAAGATGGGGTGGATAAGAGACAAAAGTGCAACACTTCCTCTCACCACAACAGCCATGTGAGCACTGAGGAGTCACTGTGGAGTGTGGAAGCAGGCTGTGATGCCATGCTAGCGGTTGCTACTCGGCATAATGCCATGACTGGCACTGTATATATAGGCGGAGAGTGAGGTGCAAGTGACGCATGGTGACCTGAAGAATGCCGTACTGGGATGAGGACACTAAAATAGCGCAGAAGTTTGAGTATACATAACTAACATCTCAAACACAAATAACCAATGGATTATCAAGGAATATGCCCTGGAGAAAACATGTTTTTGCAATGAAAATTATTAATTTCATAGTCCAGGGAGGCTGCAAACTTCTGCTTCATACATATGAGATACAATAATTCTCAAGTAATAGTAACTCCAGCTCTGCTGGAAGAAACCCCCTTGAATTCAAGCTGCCATGACTAATGAGCCTTCTGAAGTCTCCCAGTTTAGGCTGACACTGAAGGAATTAAACCTAAGGACTATAGAAGACAAAAGGACCCAGGAAGGCATGATAACATGCAAAATGCTCAGAGGAAATGATAGGGAAGACAGGAACAGACTGTTTGAGAGGTAGAAAGAGGTACTCAGGGGTACAACTATAGTTTAAAGACACAGATGAGCTACAGGGATGTCAAGGAATATTTCTTCAGCCTCCAGGTGGTTGGGAAGTGGAATGATCTTGAAGTGGTGAAGGCAAACTCTATACATAGTTTTAAGAACAGGAACAAGAGTACGTAAATCTGACAAGTGGCAAATTGAGAAGCAGGGCCAGGAGCTAAGACTCAACCCCTGTAACCACACGTAGATGAGTACTATTAAAGTTTCCGAAATCAAGCTAACACATTCCAACTACATAACTTTCATATACAACTGGGTAGCAGCACACTGCTGATGTACCCAATTTTCACGAAAAAAAATTAATGGTAAACATCATTTATTTCCAAATTTACCAGTTTCAACCCCCCCATCATCAGTGCTAAAATTTAAGAGAACAATTTACCAAGCAGAACACCTTGTTTATGTCACTAAAACATTTGGAAATAAAGATGATGCTTTGGTATTTTTGTTCTCATAAGTTTAAGATTCATAAGGAAATAAGAAAGAAAGAGCACTGCAGCATGCCTACTGGCCCATGCTAGGCATATCCAATTCACACCCATAAAACGAAAATGTATTAGTGAAAAACTAAGTGTATATACCTTCATTGTTGCGTCGCCAGAGTGTGGTGGTGGTGGTGCCACAGTTTGAACACATCAGACCCATTCTCCTCGCTGATGTCTGGAAGGAGAAGCCATCCTGTGGGGAGACTAGGCGTAAGTAGGTTCCTCAGTACCTACGTAATAGTTTAGGAGACTATAAGACACACAATGGGCAATATAACACACAACAGCGTCTTGATGAACATCATATGCATAAGAAATAGTTATAACACACTATAATAAACAAAATGGGCATTATATGAATATGAAATAGGTAGATACTGTAACAGCTAAATAGGGAGGTAATGGGAAATAGTGATGTACTGGATGAGGATGATTTAATTCAGATTAATAACCCAAGAAAAACTGTGTGGCTTATTTTTGATAGGGGTTCCATGAAGGAAGGGGGGGAGCTGATGCTGAAGGAAAAGGGGGCTGATGCTGAAGGAAGAGGGGGCTGATGCTGAAGGAAGGAGGGGCTGATGACTCTTGAAAATGCATTCTATGACCCCTTAGTGTTTAGCATTTAAACTGATTATATAAACAATAATAATAGTCTTGATTACAGGAATTATGGCTACCCATCCCCAATCTTTTCATTCCCATCTGACCATGCTGCAGAATGTTACTTAATTTTAACATCTTTATTATGCACCCCCCATACCCATTCTGTGGGTGGTAGTCAAAGGATTACAGCAGTACATAATGGGTACAGGGATTGAGCTGCAAAGTTTTAATAACTGAATAAGTTACAAGGGATAATGAACTATTTATATGTTTATATCCACTGCAGGATGCTGCCCACAGATCTAACTCCTAGACATCTACTGCTAGGTGCACAAACCATAGCTGGAACAATTCACAAGTAACTGGATGGAAGCTAGATGATGCTTTGGTCATTCCTGATTATTATTATTATTATTATAATCAAGGGGAAGCACTAAACCCGGAGGATTATACAGCTGGTCATTCCTGTACCATTATCATGCAATGTGGGATACTTAATTACCTTGGGGCCCTAAGAAAGCTTGGCTACAGCCTGGTCTGTTAGAGTAGAAAAATAAACCTTGAAACTGGTCACAAGTATCATTAATATGAATGTACTGTCGCTCAAAACTGAGTCAATGGTATGATGGTTGGTTAATGGGATTTAAAGCCTACTGACTACACCAGGACCATTAACCCTTAAATTGTCCAAACATAGATCTACATTCACGTGCGTAGCGCTCCAACCTTGATTTTCCCTATTTGAAAGCATGTAAAAAAAACGTAGATCTACGTTCGGAGCCTCCCGCACGTGGACGTAGATCTATGTTTGGACAGTTTAAGGGTTGAGGCTGCTCTTAACCTTTTCACCAGCAGACAAGAATATTTTAATTCCTAAAACATGGATCAAAGTAAAACTTTCAGCATACATCCATACACCTCTCAGTGTATATATCCTGTGAACCTTATTTAATTTATGGCATAGCTAAAGTTACAAACTTAAAAGTACAACTGTATTGTGTAACTATAATTTTTTCATGTTAATACATGTCTGAATGGCCTATGTATGTCTTATGTACATAAAATATAAAAAATCCTGTGTAGCGATTTTTCCCATAGTGTTCAGTGTTTTCTGTAATTATTTTTGTGATAACTAACATGATAATTTCAGCAAAAAATAATTTCCTATTGCGACTAGAATAATGTATAATAATATTAATAAAAAAGTTAACAAGTTTCAATTTATTCTGCACTTACATCTATTTATATTAATATAAATAATTTGCATATTTTTATTATAGTTTTGGGAAAGCGCTAAACCCACAATTAATGATGCGATCACGTTTAATTCAAGGAAAAGTAGGATAGCTCAAATTCTGCAAATCAAGAACCTTCTGCAACATCAAAGAATATTCACCTTCCACTTAACATTAGAGACTCAAACTTGTCTGCACTGAACTGCATCTGCCACTTCTCCTAACACAGCACTGCCCTATTCAGGTCATCCCGTAGACTTCTAGTGTACACCTCAGCAATTATTTGATGGCCTATTTTAGTGTCAACGGCAAACTTGTGTCGCCTATGTAGACTGTGAATGAGGGTCCTAACACTGACCCCTGTGGCATATCACTTGAGATCATTTTTAATATAATAGGGGAAACATTAGCTAGCCGTTGTTCTCACAATGTAACTTATTACACAGAATAGTGCTTGGATTCCTATAATGTAATCACACAGAATAGAGAAATAGAGAGAAAGTGGGGGGGGAGAGAAAGACCAACAGCTTCAGAGAGAGACACACAAGAGCCAGACCTCGCAGGGCAGGCCTGGCCCAGCACTGACCAGCCTCCTGGAGTGCTTGATAATGGGTCTGTTCATGCCGTTCATCTTGGTGTAGAGGCCACAGGCGTTGCAGAGATAGTGGCCGGTGGCATCCCGCCGCCATAGTGGCGTCTGAACAGCACCGCAGTTGACACACTCGCGACTCTCAGCGAAGAACTCACTCCCAGGGCAATCTGTGGAAGCAAGATGATTTATATGATAGAGTGACCTGCAGGGTAGGGGGCACTGGATAAGTGTATTGGGTAGTGGACTGGATACAATGCACTGGATTGAGTTCATTGGATAGAATGCACTGGGTAGAGTTCATTGGATAGAATGCGCTGGATACAGTTCATTGGATAGAATGCACTGTATACAGTTCATTGGATAGAATGCACTGGATACAGTTCATTGGATAGATGCACTGGATATAGTTCATGGATAGACTGCACTGGATACAGTTCACTGGACAGAATGCACTGGATACAGTACATTGGGTAGAATGCACTGGATACAGTTCATTAATAATAATCATAATAATAATATCTATTTCTACAAGTACACATAAAATGTATACAGGCCTAGCCGATATCAAGACACTACTACTATTTCGAAAGCCACTTGTTATGCAGAACATTTCAGGCAAATTAGGTCAATTTTGTCTCAGGAGGCAACCCACACCAGTCGACTAACACCCAGGTATGTTTTATACTGATGGGTGAACATGGACAGCAGGTGTCTTATGGAAAGATGTCCTAATCTTATCCAGCCATACCACGGATTCAAACTCCAGACCTCAGTGTACGAGCTGAGTGTGCTAGCGATCGAGCTACAGGACACCGTAGATAGAATGCACTGGCTCCAGTTCATTGGATAGAAGCCATTGGACAGAATTGTTTTAGAAAGACACATGAGCAAAAACCAGGACATATTTATTAGAAACCATTTCAGTCCTGGGACCCTGATCACTTCTAACCAAAGAGGATAAAAAGACAGTATTCAAGAATGAGATTCTAGAAGAATAGGAAAGTGGGGCACGTTAAGCGGAGCTTGCCAAGACGTATGGGAAGTTGAAATCAATAATCTGTTCCATTCTGGCAAAGAAAGTAGAAATCAAGGGAGCTAAAGTTGAAAAAAGGGATAAATATGCTAACGAAACAGAGCTCACAAACAATCGAAGATGTGAAGATATTATTGTTGGTGTGGACCAACGAAAAACAGTTAGCGGGAGATAGTGTTGAGGAGTCGATCATTTGCAAAAAGGCAAGGCATGCGGATCTCACCAGCAAGTGTCTTCAATAAAGGTATGTAATAGTGGTTTAAATGTTCATTATTCATTTCATTAGTGCTTTATATTTATTTCTCATTGTTTTCTGTATGTAAAATTATAGTTATTCTTTAAAAAATGTATTTTTTGTTAATATTTTTGGGGTGTCTGGAACAGATTAATTGTATTTACATTAATTCTTGTGGGAAATATTACTTCGGTTTTCGTACATTTCAGATTTAGACCGACCTTCTGAAATGGATTAAGAACAAAATCCAGGGTTCCACTGTATATAGATATAGGCAGAGTGAGGTGTGATTCACACATGGTGACCAGAACTTGTTACAACTACTAACGATGCCTTCTGACATTGTTAAGACTGATGAATAACAATAATAAATCTTTATTTCTACAAGTACATGATGCAACTTATACACACCATAGCCGATATCAAAGATATACATACTATACTGAAAGCCCCTGGTTATGCAGAGCATTTCAGGCTAACACTGAGGTACTTACTTTCTGCTAGGTGAACAGGGTCAGCAGGTATAAAGAAATATGCCCAATGTTTCCACCTGTGCCAGGGATCGAACTAAGAACACCCATTTAAAATAAGTCAGGCCTCTCACACTGACTTGGCATGAGTAACGAGGATTTTGTATAGTGTGAGTTTCCTTTTAACAAAATATTTTCATACAAATTCTAAGCAATAAGATCACAGTAAACAGGTGATTTCAGAATATGCAAAACAACAACTGTGAAAGAATAGAGAAATTCCAAGTGCTTTCGTGACTACTCACATTATCAAGGAACAATGAAAGTAATTCATCAAAGGAAAGCATATAAAGGGTCTAACCCACACCTCACTATCACATCCCACAACAAAGCAACACCTGACGTGCGACTCATAAGAAAGGGAACACTGCAGCAGGCCCGCTGGCCCAACTAGACAGGTCCTTCACACAACCCACCAACAAACTATTCAACCCAAGAATTACGAATTTTAAAATTTATTATTTGTCCAATGTATTATTAAATTCTTCCCAAATTCTATTAATTATAAATGGATCTAATTTATATAAACCAAAGGAAATATTCATATTATTGTCCAAACTGCTTTTTATGAAGCAAGATTCAATTATATTCCTGTCGACCATGGACTTGCTTGATACAACTTTCTCAACTTTTTGAAAATCAATTGGATGGTTAAAATCTCTCACATGAATAGAGCATTGGAATCTTGTCCATTTCTAATGCTATATTTATGTTGTATTAATCTCGAATCTGTTCCCTTTCTTATGAGTCGCGCGTCAGGCGTTGCTTTGTTGTGGGATGTGATAGTGAGGTGTGGGCTAGACCCTTTATATGCCTTCCTTTGATGAATTACTTTCATTGTTCCTTGATAATGTGAGTAGTCACGAAAGCGCTTGGAATTTCTCTATTCTTTCACAGTGGTTGTTTTGTGTGTGTGTGTGTGTATATATATATATATATATATATATATATATATATATATATATATATATATATATGTGTGTGTGTGTGTGTGTGTGTCGTGCCGAATAGGCAGAACTTGCGATCTTGGCTTAAATAGCAATGCTCTTCTTGCCATATAGGACAAGCGAAAATTTGTGTATGCAATAATTTTGCCAAAATCATTCTGAACGTAACGAGAAAAATGTATTTCGCTGTGTTTGTTTATTATTAAATTATTGTAAACAAATCTAAAATATATTTAGTTGGGTTAGGCTAAAATAAATTGTTCTTGTTATAATAAGGTTAGGTAAGTTTTCTAAGATCCTTTTGGAGCAAAATTATAAATTTTTACATCAACATTAATGAAAAAAACACATCTTTAAACGTATAAGAGAAAATTTCAGAAAGGACTCAATTTTAAATGAGTTCTTGCTAATTGATCAGTTTTACGTATTCGGCACGACATATATATATATATATATATATATATATATATATATATATATATATATATATATATATATATATATATATATATATATATATACACACACACACACGCTTGTACATGTAGTGTGACCTAAGGGTAAGAAGCAGCAAGATGTACCTGAAATCTTGCATGTTTATGAGACAAAAGACACCAGCAATCCTACCATCATGTAAAACAATTACAGGTTTCCGTTTTACACTCGGCAGGACGGTAGTACCTCCCTGGGTGGTTGCTGTCTACCAACCTACTACCTAGGATATATATATATATATATATATATATATATATATATATATATATATATATATATATATATATATATATATATATATATATATATATATATATAATGTTTAGAATAAAACCTATTGCATTAAATTACTTAGTCTATATATGTGACAAGTTCTGCAAGGTTGAGGGACTGATTACCTCGTCTAATGTCTAAGTACTTTATTTCTGTATTGAAAAAATTGTGGTTTGCGAAACGCCTTTATATAGATGCCCAGGTGTTGCACTTGTCTAATTCCTCAGTGGTTCACTAGTAGGATTTAACTTTTTCTTTTTCAAAATCTATCTGGCAAGCCAGCAAGGGACCTGACACAGGTGAAGGGATCTTGTGTCAAGGAGTTGGAGCTACCCTCCACTACCATGGATCAAACATGATTACCCCTCATTCCCAGATACTAAGATCCCCTCCCATCCTGGCTTGCATCTTCCCCATAGATATAATACAGTATTCTAACAATAAGCTCCTGGAGCGCGAAACATTGCCACAATAAAACGTCGCAATAATTGTATACTTGTGTCCTTTTACCCATCATTTACAAAGTTACACTAACAGGAAAGACGGTTGGTTTTAGTAAGGTTTGTCAGGAAACAGGACAAGTGTTTCCTCACGCTGGTCTCAGTCATATGATGACCCGCCACTGGAGCTTTTGGTCATCTGACCGAGGCCTTTCGATGGCTTTACCAGTACACCCCCCCCCCCTTTAAAAATTATGGTCATAGTTATAAGAATTCTTCTGATTTTTTTTAAACAGGAAAGAGTGAGAAAGCCAATTTATATAAATATATATCTACAAGAACGTCTCTTTTAGCCTCTGTTAAATTCAACAAAGATATGATGAAGACACTGATTTAGTTCTCTCTGGAAAGAAGCAGAATTAGTGGAGATATGATTGAAGTGTAAAAATGGAAAACCGGTATCTGAAGGTATCTAACAAAGACAGGATTCGCAGCAATGGATTAAAGCTGGACAAATTTTGATTTAGAAAGGATATAGGGAAGTACTAGTTTGACTAGTGGTGGAACAAACTTCCAGGGAGCGTCAGCGAAGCAAAAACTTTGGGTAGCTTTAAATCCTGGTTGGATGAGTACCTGAGTGAAGCTGGGTGTGAGTTAGACCTGCCCAGCGTGAGCCTGTAGGCCTCCTGCAGAGTTCTAGTCTCTTAATTTTATCCTCTTCTAGGTTAGAAATACTCTCGCTATACTCCAACAATAATAATAATAATAAATAACCTTGAACTTATCCAGGGATTTTTTCCTTCATATTTTTCCTTCATATATTTTTTCCTTGGATATTATCCTGGTCGATGCCCAGGATAATATCCAAGAATTTATTTTAGAGTTTGCTTCATTACATCAGGTAATTTATAGTGACGTTACACTATGTAAGGAGAAAACAAAGGCTAGAAATGTCCCCCAAAAGGTGAGACCTTTGTAAATCTGAGCAGCCTTTGACAGGAGGTATACATTAATGCCAATAATATATTAATAGGTTCCACATTCAAGAACAGTAGAGCTACCTTGCCCTTCCTTGGACCAACCTGATTGTGTCCCAGTTTACTCGAGTATGACCCCTAACGGGTTTAGCGAATCCCCGTGAGGACACTATTACTATACTTAATCAGCCCTTAAACCTGCACTTAGTTGATTATCGATGGTTTTACTGATTTCTG